GTGGGAGACTGCCGTTCCTTCTGGAGCACGTTTTTGGACGGCGATCACTCGTTCGAGCACGTGTGTCTGCACCTAAATGAACGTAAAAGAACTGTAGCAACAGCTTGACAATCAGAGCACTAAGGTTGGTTTTGGTGAGAAACTGGCTGGACTGTTATCGGAACAGAGCAACATCACTCATCCTGAAGAAGCCATCTCCAGTTTACTGTGAAACTAGCGTTGATGACCTTAGCTGACTCTCAGAAAGGCTAAAAAAGCGAATGGGTCTCAGGAGCTTCTTCTGAATAGATGCACATGAAAGCATTCTTGTAGGCTTCGATCCGAATGAGCGGAAGAAACTTAAATGTGGACTGATAAGTAGTCCACGCAATAACCACGAACAGTGGTGGGCAGTGAAGTCTAAAGACACGGAAACGACTGCGGTGATAGGTAACAGTAGACAGTTATTCAGATGAAAAGGTCAGTAGTTAGTGAGACTATAGCAGACAAGGATGGGTCTGTAATTCACTCGCAGAGATGATTGGAACGATGAACGGAATACTGCGATGGACAGTTCAACTGGCCTCCAGCTACTATTCTGTTGCCCACTATGATAATAATAATAATGATAATAATAATTCACTTTATTCCAGTCTGATCCTGAATGGAACATCGAAATAAGACCCCCAACACTTGCACAAGTCGAGAAAGCTGTAGGTAACTTGAAACGAGGAAGAGCAGCAGGACCAGACAAACCAGTAACTTAGGTATTTGAGGACAGTGGTAAAGGATTACTCGTTAAACTAACTAAAATGCTAACTGGTGTACTGGAGTCAGATATGATGCCCTCTGACTGGTCTCAATCACTGATTATCCCAGTCGTCATTAAAGGCGATAAGTCCTTTGGTGATAACCACAGGCGAATCAACCTGTCGAATATAGCGTCAAAGATTCTCGGTTCTGTGATCATTAAACGCCTATGTGGAGCTCAGGAACGGCAAGCCAGAGAAGACCACGCAAGCTTCAAACCTGGTCGTGGTTATGTTGGCCAGATATTTACACCACCAGGTTCTTGAACTTAGGTACACTTACCAACACTGGAAACTGGTTGCACTTCTCGACCTGTAGGGGGTATCGGACTATGTCGATCAAGCGGTCTTGTGGCAATGTCTTTGACTGAAAGGGGTGCCGAGTAAGCACATCACCTTGCTGAAGACTTTTTACTTGGACAGTCATGGGCGTGTCAGAACCTATGGTTAGTTTTCAGATGAATTATTTTCCTGGAGTTGTGTTCATCAAAGATTTCCACTCTATCCATTTTTATTCAACTTCTTATTAGACGTGCTTATAGAGTTCTACCTTTCTACTTCTAACTTCACATGGATTGATCTTATCATAGAAGAATCCTTGGTAGATGAAGAGAGAGTACACAGATAACATAGTCCTGTTAGGTCAAGATGTTAAGTTTAATGGACACCTTGAATGGGATAAGTTTCTCACCACTGAAATGTGAATCGTTGCTCTTCGTTATTCCGTTTAACAATAGGAAGTGAAATGTTTGAGCACGTTTTTCACTTCAATTATATAGGAAGTCGGATTAGCTCTTGCGAATCAGGGGCGGACGAAATCTCTACACAGATACATAAGGCTTTTTCTAGCCTACGCCTTTTATTGTGCCCCCGCGATATCTGACTGTCTGTTAAGTGTATAATGTACTGGGTTGCAGTCCACTCGGTTTTAATATATGTTCATTAAAGGTAGATGACATGAAAAGGCTACAAGTATTTGACCCCAGCTGCCTTTATAGCGTGGTCCGTTTGTCGTGGTGTCACCACATCAGTAGTGTAGAAGTCAGGTGTCGAGTTTTAGGAGAGAGAGAGTCAGTCGATGAGGCTGTGAATCTTCATCGACTGAGGTGGCTGTGACATTTTACACATGCCTAGTTACAGTCTGCCTCATTGCACAATGTTAGCTGAAGTGAGTTTAGGCTTGAAAAAGGTTAGAGGCGACGAAACTAAGTCATTCAATGAGTTGATGAAGTCTGACGTTTGGTCTGTGTTGTGTAGAATATGTAGACTTTTTTAGGTTGGATGCTGTGAGACAACGAAAACTAATGGTTGAAGACTCCAGATTATATGGCTAGGAGTCGGTCTTAGTGGTGCTAATATGTTCGTACATAATCTTCGTGCCGAATCTCATTACTGTTTAACTCTTCTTGTTTCCTTTTTACAACTTTCTTCTACTTCCGAATACTTCATTACTTCTCAATCCTTGTTGACTTCTAGCTTGATGTACTGATATGTATGACAGCTTGGCCGTTACACAGTGATGCCAGGTTGTATGTAGATGCTGACTGACGTATTCAAACTACCATGAGTAAAATGCATATTGGACAGCTGAATAGTACTGTTAGGTTGTACACAACAGGTATGACCTGCCGCTTTACTGCCTAGACCTGCTTATGATTACTGAATTGTATTGTTTTATGATTTCACCTATGAGACATACTTAATATTTAACTAGAAATATAGTTTGTTCTTATTTTGGTAACTGTAATCCAGTATAACACATTAATTCAGTATTGTCTGCTGGATGAGGTTTCCTTGAACACCTGGCACTTAAAGTTAGGATGATTTAACTTTCATCACATAGTTATGAAAAACTCTATTACCATTGAACTAATAGAAACAGAATAAATAGGTGAAAGTATGTTTACAAAAATTACTTTGGATAGTCGCTGTTGGAATGGTGCAAAAAATCAAATTTCTATTACCGAGATACCGTGGATATTCTAAGAATAAGGAATGACAATGATATAGTAGTGAATATTTTCTACCTAGTTTTTAGATCTACTGGGAACTTTATCGCACTTCATGCTTAGTATTTCATTTGCAGAACTTTTGATCCTAGCAAAGGTGTCACCTTTATTTCATTCTTGAATGGAATTGAAGTTCTCATATTCTTTAGTAGCATAACAATAAATAATGCCTGTTTAGCGACCATATCCATGTTCATGTATTGAGTTATGAGCTATATCTAATGTATAAAGGTTGGTGGTATTGCCTACCTATCCAAACAGTTTTTGGAGTAATGTTCAAACCGAATGATTTCTTGTCAACTGCCTATGCTAATGACCCGTAATTGCACTTTATGAGTACCTGTAGGAGTAATCGCTACTTTCTTGAATGACAGGGGGAGGTTGGCGGTGGTTGGTCTCCTTTTTTTCTGATCAGTTTATCGATAGAAGTTTCGTATGCTTCGTTGTTAGTCATTGTATGTTTATCATATCTTTTTTTTGGAAGATCCACTTTAAACTTGACTTAAATATTGTAATTTGTAGATTTTTTAGAGTTGATTTTATTTGAACATTGTTAGTGTTTTTATTGGCATTACCTTAGGACTTTGAATTTATAATGGATGAACATCTTTCTTGCCAATTTTATGAGTTCTTGCTTAACTGACAGTTAGATAAACAAAAGAGATAAATAAGTTGCTAGATTTGTTATCGGTTTTTCTCTCTGAATAGAGAAACTATCAACGGTCCTACATTACTAAGTCGCTTCTGAGACGTTAGAAATGCTTTTGTATGGTCTGTTGCATTGGTGATGTTCTCTAATACTATAAGTATTATTTTAAACAGTACTTTGCATTTAGAGGTCACTTCTTGAACAGGTAGTAAATAGTAACCAAATCTAATAATTGGGTCATCACCTTCACGTATCTGCCCTCTTCAGATCAGCGTGTCCTAATATTTAAAAGTTCTTCCAACCAGAGTTATAACCATGCTAACCGTCTTGTGTTGATAGTAGTAGTTTTATGGTATGATACTTTACTATAAAGTGTCTGGTTCTCAGTTGTCCTACTACTTTTAATTGCGTCTGTACAGGTGATTACGAATTTTACCGCTTCAAATAAAGTGTCTATCAAAGGCTGGAAATGTGTGCTATCGAATATGATGGCGGAAGTAAAAAGGATGATATTTCCGATATTACAACCAGGCATTTCTTTTTAGTTAGATGGTTGAGGTGATCGCTAAGAGGCCGTGTACTTAGGTTTCGTAAAAGTGGTTACTCTACGGGGATCTCCGCAACATAACTGTCATTTCTGATTTCTTAAGTTTTACGAATAGCCACTTCAACTTTTTCTTTCAAGATGGCCAGTGTGTTCAGGCCAATTACTTGGCAAAAGAAGTTGAAGAACAATAACAGTTCAGAAAGTACCTAACATTTGACTGTACCCGCATAGTATTGCTTTTCCGATTGGCAACAATTAGCAACACTGACTAACAAGCACTCACTCATCCGTCGTTCAAGGATGGAGTGTACAGTTCGGAAGTTAACCCTTTCCTGTTATGTGGCTGTCAACAGCTTTCTTTAAATAATAACAATATTTTAATATCATTGACAGTAACCACCTTTACCTTCATGGCGCTATTCTATGTAGTAGAATAACTAGGTTCAGTACTGTGGGGATATGTGGGTTATTGTTCTAGGGAGCTGAATTTCAGCCATTGGGTTACGGGTTCGAACACCGCCCCACCTACTGAACTTTGGGTAGCCAGGTGAGTGTCATTAGGCCTTACACACAATAGGTATGATTCATTGCCTAATGCATGAATGTGCACAAGATTGCGGAGTACATTTCAGTTTCGATTCGTATTCGGTGCCATCAAGTTTAAGTGTAGCGGTGTTATTTAACCACATGTATTACATGATAGTTGAAGTCACTCTGATTAGAATACGTAGTACTTTGGGGAGGAGGTTTCAGCAGCTTTACATTATCGAAATTCAATGGTTGAAAGACCTTAATTTGATGGTGAAAATAAACCAAATCGGTGTAGGATTTCGATAATTCTGCCCAGTATTTTATAAAGGTTAGATTTCAATTATTTCACGTGTTGTGATAGTGTTTAGTCAGCAACAATGGACTGAACTATCGGTTTGTACATCATCTTTGTTAATGCGTCAACAACTTCATATATATATATATATATATCCGTTTATTTTTAAAATTTATTTCAGATATGTGTCTCACATACAATCGTGATGATCACTTGGTGGATGATAAACCTGAAATGTCAGTTGCAGTTGAGAGATCGCAATGTTTGAATTGTGTTTCGGGTAGAAAGCCAATTTCTCAGTTGTCCAATGACACTAAAATAGAACATGCTTTGGTTTATTTTGATGGTAAATTGAAATATTTCATGTTTGTTTTTTTTACTTCTAAAATAACCCTTTTTATCCTGTTTTAGAATCATTCTCATTCCATTTTAGTTGATTTATTAGATGTATCACACGATGGAGCGGTACTATTTGCTAGGTCACGTTTCAGACACAGTTGATTGTCCATAGTCATTTCAAGATAATCATTTTGTCTATCTGAGATGACCGTGGTTTGGCAGACTCTTATTTATACTGGGTGATGATTAAAGGTGACATGAAAGTTTGAACCTCACGGGGATTCGAACCAGCGACCACCGAGTTTCCGGCTTGGTGCTCTACCAACTAGGCTATGAGACCTGGCTACTGATCAGATTTCTATTTCACTCCAGCCACCAAGGATTTTACCTGATTGTCATGTGAATTCGTGACTCTTTACTACTGCTTAATCGTACTCACACTGGCTGCCTAGTCAAGACTTCTCATCCGAATCCAAATCTAACTGGATTAGAGAGAGGAAGCATCATATTGGTTACTATTTTGACTATCTGAGATAGCCGTAATTTGGCAGACTAGTATTTATACTGGGTGATGATTGAAGGTGAAATGAAAGTTTGAACCGCGGTGGGATTTGAACTAGGGACCATCACAACCTGGAGACATGGTCCATACAGTTCTAGTTCTGTCTCTCCTTCTTTGTGATATAGGTTGTAATCTGGCAAATAATACTGTTTTACTATGTGATGGATCTGGTAAGTTAACTAAAGTGAATTACATTTCATTCCAGTGTTCAGGTTTTCTTTATCAGTTGTATTATAAACTAAGTGGCATAAATTACCAGTTTATCTCTTATCTTGTTTTAGAAATTGTTGTTTAGTAGGTCGTGATATCTGCTTAGGTTTTTGCGAAGTTCGGTGATTGTTTTCATGGTCGGAGGTAATACGCTACTTGATTACCCAAATTGAAGCTGAGTGAACATAACTTCATTAATCAGTGGTTGAAAAACAAGTAGTTGGACTTTGATGTAATTGCTTGTAATTCCTCTTCGTTGATTGGACCGAATTGATCAACCCGTTATTGATGTATAGACTTCTGTGCGAATGCCTCGATATTCTCAGTAATTCCAGTTCAACAGTAGTAGCAACAGAAAAAAATAGGATTGATAAAAGTAAGATATACACGTTTAAAGCGATTCATCGTACAGACGTACATTGTAAATTTGAAGCTTACGAATGCACGACTTATTACTAGAAAGGATTCAGCCGTTTTCGGTTCATTTCGGGAGCTTATAACAATTTGAAGTTTCTGTATTTCCAGGATCTTCAGGTGCCTTTTTTCTTTAAAACAAAACTTTCTTAAAATGAATGTACTGTACTTTTGGTGCTCTTACATCTGTACTGTTCACAGACCTTGTACTTTCTTTGGTTAACTTCATAAAGAAAGGAAAGTGTATTTAATAAAGTAACTGTCACTTGAGCTAAACTTCAGACTGGTTCATGTACTGTGTAAATGAAGTATATGCATCCTTTTTCTTTGTCGGATGAACTCTTGTCAGACTACTCAGTAGGTGTAAATCAATAGTACTGCAGCGTATATTCTGATGATTATCTTGACAACTGATATATTGAATCATTAGTCACTTATTCCCAGTTGATTATCCTACTAAACAGAAGAACTCTCACACTTTACTTTGTGTGAGTATTGGCGGTAACTTCAACCATAATCTATGCTCTTTTTTCAAGAATACAGTTTCAGATTAACATGTAGCTTATACGCGAAGGATGTGGTATATGATGAGATGTTTCATATTTCGCTGCTAAACTTTAATTTGATGTAGACGTTTGGCTGCTAGTGATTTCGTGCATGACTGACAGCCTTGTAACCATTATTTAATCCTACCTGAATACATGGATCTCATGTGGATGAATGGAAGAGCTTACATATTGATATATCATTTCATGATTATTCATCCATTCATCATAGTAATAAAATATATTTCTGATAATACTGATGACACTTTGTCAATCTTGCCTTCTCTGTGTGTTTCTGTTTAGCATCTGTTCTCCGATGGAATGATTTCACGTATAAATCTGTTAGTGGTAAAACACTAGCTTCAATTCCATCTGGTAAGTTGCCTCTTATGCATTTCTCTGAAGGTATCGTTTCATTTGAGGTCATTCTATCCCCGTTTATGACAATATGCTAAGCGAAAAATAAGGTCATTTGCAAATTTACGTTATCTATGGCGCTGACTAACGAGATATCCGACTATCTATCAAAGGACGAGTATACTGCACCATTACAGTCTGTTCTGTACTGTTATATTGCTAAGTCATGGTAACTTAAATTAGAAGGCATGAAGTGGTTACAGGATTTTGATCACAGATGTCCTCACAGCCATTAATCGCGTTTGATGGAATCACCGTGTGAGCCATTGTTGAGGTCAGGCGAAGGGTACTAGGCAAGACAGGTAAGTCGATTGATAAGATCGTGAACCTTAGTTGACTGAAATGGTTTATACATGTACTGCGCATGCCGTCACCACCTACCTCGATGTATCATCCTGCAGGAAGTTGAATTAGTTATGAAGAGGGTTCAGGGTTGACAGATCAGACGTGGCATTAGTCGACGAAGTCTCTGACTGTTGGCTCAAGTCGTTTGGGGAGATGTTGACTGCCTGGTTGAGATCTTCGAGATGATAGGAATCAGTGATTGAGGACTGAAGGTGATGTGGCTGAAAATTGGTCACAACGGCACAGATGTATTCACTCCTTGACATTTTCTAAAGCTTGAATATTTGCACTAAACGCTATCTTTAAATCGATTATTCTCTCGGATAACTTTTTACACTTTGATATCAGTCTTTTTCTATCCATCTGTTCTTTGTATACTACTGTGAATTATGACAACGTTTTTGCGCGAGATTTTACGTTGATTTTGTTTTTCTTGTCTCTCTGAGCTGTGTGTTTCAATTTAATCAATTTTTAAGTTCAGAACAATACAGTACCTTAGATGGATATGAAGCTGTGCTGAAATATGTAGTAGAAAGAAATAATTTTGGATATCCACTTGAATATAACTAGACTCTATTGCTTTCAGGGTAGCATTCATCATGGATTGATATCAATCATGGGTGCGCATTACTGAAGAGACAACTGTTCAGTCCTTTTAAGTTCTCCAACTGATGTTAGTTAGTGATGAATACTTCCTTGAAATCAATCAGTTCAAAGTAACTTCCGAATTGGATTTCTTTGTACTAGAAATCGTGAATATAATTGTACCAGTGAGTACAATTTTTAAGGCATATCTGTGTGAAAATTTGACTGATTTATAATGAATTGGATATCCCGCTAGAAGTGGCTATAATTTGCTGTATACTTTAACCAACTACTTGGCTATATGGTGGTGATAAATTGTAACTATACTTTTGAAGCTAGCGATAATAAGTTGTCTATTTTTGTTCTTGTTTAGCATTTTCCTTTCGCGTTACCAATTTTTTCTAGAAGTTACGACCTAGTCAACACCTGGATGTTGTAGCTCAGCTGGTTAAACACTGGCCGGGTAATCCATAAGCCGTTGCTTTATATCCTGCTGTAACTGAAGTTTTCATCCAACTTCCAATCGCCACCCTGTATCATTAATACCAATCTATCAGACCACGTCATTGAGATAGTCTCATCATAAATATCTTAAAACATACTTTATCGTTTACTTTTCGTTCAACCACTTCATTCAAACTAAACTTTAGTAGATAGACAAAATGCTTTTTCTGGAAGCGTACGACCCGGTCACAACTTCATTGATCACCTTCATTAGAGACTCGTTTCGCCTCACTTTATTAGAGGATTCACTTATCTGTACATTGTAATTATTGTTCGGTGGTGTTATCCATGTACAGAACTGTAAGCTTTTATGTTCTAGAAGTCTCTGAAGTAGCAATGGTTAGTAAGTTTCACTGTGTTATTGCCTTATAAACGATCAAGTTTCTTTTATTTCGCACATATTTATTTACTGTTCGTTTGTATCCATGTTTTTCCACCATGAAATCTGGAGGTCCTGATTTCGATCCCTGGTGGCGGGGTTATGGCTGCTTACTGCTGAGGAGTCCCGTACTAGGACGAAACAGCTGTCTAGTACTCTCAGTTTCTTTATGGTTCCCCAAATGATATCAGTTCATGATGAATACAACCTTGAAGGACTCGATTCTCTTTTGCTAGTATATTAATTTCTGTAGCGTTATTTTTATGCTTTGTTCTCCACTCATATTAATTAATTTCATTTTTACAGCAGGTGTTTATGTTTCTACGCTAAGTTATATTCCACAAGTTCAAGGATTGGCTGTTGGTTTCAGTTTTGGTGGTTGGCAGTTGTGGTCATTAAGTCGGTTAAATATGGAGTAGGTGTACTGATTTTTGATTTACCTCCGTCATAATACTGTTTTCGTTTTTCAATGTGTACTGTTTTAGGCCAACAGGTATCGGAAAAAAAATCCACTTACTAATCTTATGCATATTCAGTAGTAGACAATGAACTACACTTATTGTAAGGATTAGTGGTATTATTTGGCTGTGGGTTCGAACTCAACCCATCAGTTGCAATTTAAGTGCCTAGACCAATGAGTGGGGGTGGATTTAGTTGTGTTGTATAAGTCAACGTTTGTCTGTTGCTTCCAATCCTTCCAGTCATCTTTCCATCTATACTAAATTACCACCCATCAGATGCATTGGGTTCAGTAGTTTATGAGGTTTTTGATAAGTCATTCTCTGTATTCTATGTTCTACTTTGGATAACTGACGTTAAGTAATCAACTTTAAGAAGCAGGTACATCCAGCTGACGAGTCCCAAATAGAACGAAATGCACATCTGGATTCCACTGCTAGCCATGATCCATCATTAATTCAAGAAAGATGGTTATGAACTCGAACTCTGCCCCCTAACTAACCTGCGTATCTCCTTATATGTGGACAGACAAATGTAGTTTCGTTAGCTCTAACATGAAATTAGTGTCTAGTCTGTTTATTTTTACAGGGTTTCCAAGTCGCAGCATTGCTTTATTGTTTTGTCATTCAAAACAGCTGTTCAGATCTCGTTTTTAAATTCGATAAATCGAACATAACCTAGTAACTATGGCTTTAGTCCTTTACCAAGCTTTTTATATCCTTATACCACTGAGTATTGCAAGAGTACAAAATGATGGTAGTTAACCGACTAGCTAGTTGAATGACATTCGATTGGTTTTGTATGTATGTCGTATAGATAAAATCTCACATAAAGTTAATAAGATCTGGAATTCACTTAATGTCTCTATCTCTCTGCTTCCCCTAGATTTTGTCTACGTCAAGCCACTCCGGCTGTGCCTGTCGTGAGTTTCAATTTTTTAGAACCATCCGATGATCCAAGATTCTGTTGTTTCCTTTGGGTTGGTTGGCAGTCCAAGCAGGAGACTGAAAGCAGTGATGTATTTAAATTCACTGGAAAACCTAATCCTACAACCAACTTTGAAAAGTAGGCTTTCTTTTTCTTCCATCCAGTATTAATTTATGTTTTTCAAAAATGTTGTTTATAAACTTTTTTACGCTTTGAAGATTTTTTCATGATATGTATAACATAATTTTTTTTGTATATATCTCACCTTATGTAGAAAAGAAAGCTTTACAAATCCAAGTCCTTAACATCTCAGTTACTTTTGGGTTAGGTCTTTAGTTGTGTATATGTTTCGGTTATTTGACCCGCTCGTTAAACGTATATTATTCGGTAATATAACAGTTTAGCGTGCACTTAGCTATAATTGGTTACATGTAAAGTATCATTAACTTTCTTTATCGCCGCTTATCATCCATTGTCCCCCAGCAATTCATCTAATCCAAATGTCATAAAGAGTTAACCACTAACAAAATGTTTATTCAAACATAACTTTCATGACCAGTTTACAGCAATAATTTCCTCCTATCAGAATGATCGAAAAAACTCAATCAGTAATGAAAACAAACTCAAGTAGTCGAGATTAGTGTAGATATCTTACATAGTTCTTTTCGATGAATCTCCTACTGAATGACTCGTTAAGCTTACACAGTTCAGTGTTGGAGTGTGGGTTCTCATACCAGAACAGGTATGCCTCTTGTAAATCAGATCATTTCAATAAAAAGTAATAATATGAAAGGCATTATCCTCTGTTGTCACTAAAATTGAACTTGGTTATAAATATATAGATAAAATATATCGTTATAAATAGCATAAAAATCAGGTGGCAGCAATACTTCCTTTTTTGTGACTATGTAGTTCAAGGAATCTTCATAATGATTTTATCAGGGAAAGGCAGATGAATCCAAGGCGGCTATGTTTCCAAAAGATTCCTATGGAAATAAAATGTGCAAGTATGCACATTTGTGTGAGATATTTTCTTGTGAATTCTTAAAACCGTCAGGTTTTTGTAATCACAAGTTGTATGTGGGTATGAATTTAATGCAATAATAATGTCTAAGTTAACTTCACACCAAAGTCAGCTAGTTATCATATAATCTTCAGATAACAAACATTCACTCAAGGAAAATATGATGTTTAGCTGGTGATCAAAAAATTCCTACTAATCACTGTAGATCTGTGGTCGTATTACTCATAATCGAGTCAGAAGTAAAAGAGACAAAACTGATGTTCACCTGCAATAGTACTGGCAACATATAGTGGAATAGATCTTGTGTAAAATTGTGCAACAATATATTATGAAGAATAGTTTACAATTATAATGATGATAGTTATCATGGACTGCGATAGAGGAGGCAATCGAATGCTGAAGTTAACACTTTAATTCATTAATATAAGTGTAAAACTTGAGGACTGTGATAGAATGTAATTCCGTATTAGATTTAGAAGTAGTATTCACCGTGGACTGATATCAGTTGGGGAACCATTGGAAATCTGGAAGCATTAGACAGCTGTTTCATCCTAGTATGGGACCCCTCAGCAGTACGCACACACGACCCAGCTAGGGATGGAACTCAGGACCTTCAAGTTCCACGGCGAACGCGTTAACCATTCAGCCACTGAGTCAGTTTCCAGTGGTTCACGATTTCCAACTTCTGTCAATTTACGCGTTAAAATCCCCATTCATCTCAAAAATACATTACCGTATTAGACTTGTTTGATTTATAACATCAAATGATGCAGTATTATTTACTTGATGACGTTTCCAGCATAAATTATTTCTCACAATCATATCAATGTAATCACATTACTTTCGGCATCCGATTCTTATAGTTCTATCACTTCGCATTCTCTGTGGTTACTGGCAGTAAAATGTTCCGTACCTTTGACACAGGTATCGCGTCATCTCTGTTACATGTGTTGGTTGATTCGGTGAACAAAGAATCAGTAATCAATCCCCCCCTCTGTTTCCACTTAATTATATTAGACTTAGGGTAAAGTGGTTTTGTCCCACCCACCCTATTGTGTGGTTGTATGTGAATGCATGCATTGCAATTATTATTATTATTAGACCCTTGGGTTCCTAGTGGAACATAGGGCTTCAGTAGCACGTCTCCAGTGAACTCTCTTCTTTGAGATCTTTTGAACCTGGTTCCACGACAGCCCACAACCTCTCATTTCCTCCTCGCACCATCTCCTCCATGTCACCCTCGGACGTCCAACTCGTCGCTTCCCATGGGGATTCCAATCGAGGGCCTCATGCGTGATGTCCCCAGTCGGCCTTCTCAGTGCATGCCCAATCCATCTCCACTTCCTCTTGCATATTTGTTGAGCGATAGGTTCTTGGTTGGTTCGTTCCCAGAGCACCTTGTTGCTTATTCTTTCTGGCCACCTGATCATCAGTAGCGAGCGTAAGCAGTTGTTGATGAATGTCTGTAGTTTATTGGAAATGCCTTTCGCAAGGCGCCAAGTCTCTGCGCCATACAGAAGCACTGACTTGATGTTGGTGTTGAAAATCCGTATCTTGTTCTTTGTGCTGAGTGCAGAAGATCTCCACACTGGTTTCAGGCTAATGAGCGCCTGTCTTGCTTTTCCGATTCTGACTTTGACATCCTCGTCTGTGCCTGTGGCGCCTGTAGTTGAAACAGTGCTTCCTAGATAGGTGAAGGAGGTTACTTCCTTTAAACTTCTCCTGTTGATGGTGATTGGAGTTTGTTGTTGTTGTTGAAGTTGTTGGTGCGGTATCTTCATCACCTCTGTCTTCTCTATATTCACTTGAAGTCCCGTCTTCCTTCGCTGCCTCTTCTGTCAACTTGTTAGTTTTCGCCTGTTGATGTTCAAGTTTGTGTGACATCAGACATAGGTCATCGGCGAAATCCAGATCTTCTAGGTTCTTTTCCGCAGTCCAGCCAGTGTATCCCCCTCTTCTCGCTCCCCACTGTTTGTTGCATGATCCAGTTGACCACAATCAGGAATATCATGGGGGATAGTAGGCAACCTTGTTTCACTCCTGTCTTTACTTCAAAAGCATCACTAAGCTTCCCATTGTGAATTACTTGGCATGTGGCATCTTCATATAGTTGTTGAATGAGGCGGATAAAGGTTTGCGGTACTCCGTAGTAATGAAGCAGTTTCCAAATTACTTCTCGGTCGATGCTGTCAAAGGCCTTTTCAAAGTCGATAAAGTTGAGGTAGAGAGCTGATTGCCATTCTATGCTCTGTTCTATGATGATGCGAAGCGTTGCAATTTGGTCTGCACATGATTTGTACTTCCTGAATCCAGCCAGCCTGTTCCGGTCGTAATTTTGAATCCAGTGCATCCTTAAGCCTCTCCAGGATTATGCGGCTTAATATTTTGCTTGCTCTGGGTAGATAGGAGGGTGATTCCGCGCCAGTTCTTACAAACACTGAGGTCTCCCTTCTTTGGCAGTTTGACAAGGTAACCCTTCTTCCAATCGCCAGGTACCTTCTCTTCCTTCCACACTTTCTGCAATAATGGTGTGAGCATGTCTGCTGTTGTCTGTGCGTCTGTTCTCAGTGCTTCTGGCGGTATCCCATCTGGTCCTGCTGCTTTTCCACATTTCAGTAGCTTTATGGCGTTCAGGACTTCCATTTTTGTTGGAGGATTTATGTTCACTTGTAGTTCGGCGGCTGCAGGTGGTATTTCTGGACGAAGTGCAGGTGGTGATGGTCGATTCAGGAGCTTCTTGAAGTGGTCGGCCCATTGTTTCCTCTGTTTCTCTTCTTTCGTAATTAAACTTCCTTCTTCATCTTTTATTGGTTTCATCTGTGTTGATCTCTTCCCAGATAGCAACCTGGTTATTTGATACAATGTTGTCAGGTCTTTGTCTCTCTTACCTGCAGCCTGTTCTGCTTCACTTGCCAGTGTTTCGTAGAAGTGTCTTTTGTCTTTGCGTGCACTCTTCTTTACTTCTTTGTTCAGTGTTTTATACATTGTGCTCAGTTCTTCTTGTCGTTGAGCATCCTTGTACTGATTTATCTTCTGCTTCACCATCCCCCTCTCACTGCTCTATCAGCTTCCATGTATCCGTCGAGATCCATTCCTTATCTTCTTTCTTCTTCCTTCCTAATACGGTTTTGCAGGTTTCTCTCCACATCTCTTTCAACGAGTTCCAGTGTTCTTCCACACAGGTTTGTACAGGAATGTTCCTCGATATCTCCCATTTTGTCTTGATGGCTGCTGTGAAGATCTCCTTTGTAGTTTCATCCTTCAGTTTCCGAGTGTTGTACTTGAACTAAGGTCTATCACCAGCTTCCTTGAAGGCTTTTAACTTGTTTTGGAGGGTTCCTTGCACTAGATAGTGGTCTGAACCTTCATCTGCTCCTCTTCTTGACCTTGTGTTAAGTAGACTGCGTCTCCATTTTCTTGAGATTGAGATGAAGTCGATCTGGTTTTTAGTGTGTCCATCTGGTGAAATCCATGTCGCTGACTTGTGGATATCCTTGTGCTTGAACACACTGCCTCACCTCCAATCACCAGATCGTTGAATGCACAGAATTCTGCAAACAATTCTCCATTCTCATTCATTTCACCTAACGCTTCTCGACCCATGGTTAGTTCTTTTCCTGTGTTGTTCCCTCCCAGTTTAGCATTCATGTCGCCCATTAGAATTTTGATATCGCCAACTGAAGTGGTGTCTTGTCCAGTGTTGATTGCAGTTGTCTGTAGAATTCCTCCTTTTCTCTTCATCTGCATTATTTGTAGGTGCATAGCATTGTATATGCATTGCAATAGCCGAGTTTTTTTTCTAGATTATTAATCTTATTGGCGTTTATCATTCTATATTTTGCTAAATTCCTTTGTTCCGCTAATCTAACTGACCCCGACTAGCTTGTCTCACCTGTGTACTTGGCCTCACAGTCACTACGTGGGATTTAATAGATTCGATGATTTTGCTGAATTGGTTCTATCTGATCATTAAGCCAGCCGACAAAACTTATCTCTGAGTGAGTTTTTATGTTTGAATGCCACCCTTATTCCAGCTCTGTTGAGGATTCTACGTAAAGTTTCTGATGTATAGGTAAACACCTGATATAGGGTAAGACAATGGAGGCTGTGAATGAGTAGTAAGGAGTTTACAGCCTCCATTATGAAACATAGGAATTGAGTAAAATATAGAATGACAATGATTACTGAGTCTTTATTCATCGAATCAATACCCAACATATGTAATATAAATGACACAACATCTCGATGTGGACGTTTTCGAACTTTAGTGTTTGATCTATGCTACTGTGCAGTCAGGATAATCTTATTGGACAGTTCTGCGTTTTAATGAACGAACTGTTTAGTATAAATTATTTAAACTACATAACCTTGTTTACAGTTTGTTTTTCGTAGTAATCTTTAATACATTACTCTTTTAATATATATACAAAATTAGTCCAACGGTCAAATTATTCCAGTTATCGTACAAACGTCGTTATGAATTGGCATCACACAAACACAAGGGATTTAATTTTTACTATCAGGTAACTTATGCATATAATTATTAGAACTTGTTTATTAGTTTGGTGTATAATATCGTAATGATGATTTGATAGCACACTTTGCTAGATGAGTAGTAGTAGTTGATGATTTCTGGAATTTATTTGTAGAGCTTCCATTTTCCTGTGGAAAAGAATTCGAGAGAGAAAGAGATGGTGACTTTTCTGTGAAAAGACTTGTGGGAACGTGACAGGAATCGCGAGTGTCTACTCATCGTGTAGCATGCTCCGTCATCTTCTACAGGTATTGGTTGCCACTAGATGTCTGCGGAAATGGTCCCATTACGTCCACTTACCACAGGTCGCCAACTGCTGCTACTGGAATCGACTGAAGCTGCGGCCGCACATACCGATCACCTTTCATCAGTTGACAATGAGGTCAACCCAGCACGTGTTTGGCAACATCTCTCATACCTGGCCAGTACTCACTTTGTCTGAGAAGGCCAGCTGTCCTTGAGACACATGCATGAGCTAACTGGTGGCATTCTTGTATCATTTTGTCGTATAGACCTTTCGGAATCACTGCCAACCAGCTTCCGTCGTTTCCTCACCACGTCAGCATCCCATAAGTATTCATCCGTAGGCATTCTTTCTGCGTCAACAACGTTCTCAACTCTTTATTTACCACAGACGTTTGTGTCTCCGTCCCTTCAGTTATGGCCTTTATCACTTATTTCAGTATCGGGTCCGACTTCTGAAGGCGAATAAGTCTTAACGGGTCCAGTTCCACTGCATGTACACCATATGCTATCTCAGGTAGCTCGTTTTCTTCGTATGATCTTGATAAGAAGTCTACCAACCAGTTTTCTTTCCCTGCCACATGGCTGATGGTGAAGTCATACTCTTGCAGTCGTAACACCCAACGTGATAATTTTCCTCTGGGGTCTCGCCCTGCCTTAAGCCACTGTAGAGGTTTATGATCCGTTTCAATATGGAATCGTTGACCGAGGAGGTACTGTCTCCGCTTCTCAAGCGCCCAAAATATCGCCAGACTTTCCTTTTCCACTGTAGAATATTTCTGTTCTGCGGGTGTTAGGACACGGCTGGCATACGTTACTACTCCTTCAGTCTGTCCCAGAACTGCGCCTATTCCATGATCACTTGCATCGGTGGACACGACAAATGGCTTCCGAGGTATTGGTAGTTTTAACGTCATCTCCTGGTCATTTAGAAGTTCTTTGATGTGATCAAACGTTTTTTGTGCCTCCTCCGTCCACGCAAATTTGGGGTTGCCAAGTAGCTTACATAAATCTTCACTGTTGTAATCAATCTGGAATCATATCAACTAAGTTCTCCATGCATTGATCTCTAGCATCCTCAGTATCCTAGTCAGACTGCCATTCACTTTGTAAATTTTTACCATGTCTGAATCTGGTTATCCTTAGTTATTTTAAAAATTAATTCTGCTCCTTCTAATATCTCATGTTCGGGTAGGAGAAGTCTGAATGTGTAACAAGTTCGCTATCCATTTCAATCAGTACACGTTCACAACCACATCGACTTTATCTTACTTTCCTTACCTAATATGTCATGCATGATTATTACATTGCCTGCCGGATGGTCTTGTTGCATAAAGTCATTACTGTTTATTTGGTCGAATACCCTAACATTTAACTGCTGACAAACTCTTGTCAACCAATTTTTAGGATATTCTGTCAAGGTATCCATTAAACCCTGTGTTTTGTCAACTATTGGATCATACACGAACTGAACTTCTAAAGGTTTGTATTTAACCTCGATGTCCAATTCTGGGAGAAGTTGGATTAAATTTGAAGAAGGCTCAGGGTGGACTGACTAAGACGTAGGATCAATCCATGAAGTCTTTGACTACTGGTCTGAGCTGTGTAAAGGAAGTCTTCTCCGAGACTATATAAATTAATGGTTGAAGATTCTCGGTGACATGGTTGAAAATCAGTCCCAATAATGCAGATGTATTCACTGTTTGATTTCTTCTAAAGCTTGGGTATTTTCAGTAACCCTCATTTTCAGATTCCTTCTCCTTCCAAATACCTTCGTCTGTTGTCATACCAATCCTTTTCTATCACCCTGTTTTTTGCGTGCTACTGCAAAGTATGGCAACTTGGACCGATGCACTTATATGTGAAGTTCTACATTCATTTTCTGTCTGCCTTTATTGACCAAATATGAAACTGTAAAATACCTCCTTATTAAAACTGCAATTAGCATTCGCTTACTTACTGAGGAGTGATTTTCCACTCGCCTTTTCCGACTGGAGAAGGAAGCTCACCATTCTCCTTCCTTGCAATAAAGAGCCATCGTCGGATTTCTGAAACTTGACGAGGTTAATGTCTCTCACAGTTTACTTATGATGTTTCAAGGATGGAAGTTTATTCACTCGGTAAGGTTAACAACGTGCACCAACTAAGTTGACCAAACATGAATCGAAGTCATCACCTGTTGACTTAAAATGTATGTTTTTGCTGCCTTGTCAGGATTCTTAATATGCTTTCAGTCAGTGATTGAAAGCGGTTGATGTTACGTATGAGAACTATTCATCTTGATACAGCTTTATTGACTCCTTGTCTTTCTTGAAATCTATTGAGGAGTGAAGTTGTCGCTGCGAGTCGTGCACTAATTGGCTATGCATCCTAAGCAAGAGAATGACTGCTAATCAGCTTTATATAATACTGAGCTGTCGACTAATCACTTTTATTCTTTACGACTGGATCAAGTTACTTAAATCTCATATCTTGTACACTTTCCATGTATCTTGAAAATACAATTCATTAATTGAAGGCTGACAAAATAACTGGATTTTCTCCAGCATGCAGTTTAAAGGAAATAGGTTTTCGTTTCTCAAGGTATCCATAAAAGATATATAGGCACAACACCTTCTTTGATGGGAAAATATAACAACTAGGGATTACTCAAAGGTAAATCAGAAGTCTATCGGCTGAAGCATGTGTGATAGTCATTATAGTAGCTTGCACAATACTACTGTCAGTTAAAGGAAGCTTAGATTTAAGTATACCCGTTGTTACAAGGAATATGTACCCAAACTATATCTTTATAAGTACCTACGTTTTATTGTGTAGTGTCAAACCATTAGATCAACCGTTTGACAGCATATTTCTACATCTAACAAAGTTTACTATGAACTAACGTGAGCGAATATAACTGAAGTATGAATAGGGTCTAACGACCAGTTCAGTAATTTAAGGATTTTATAGTCGTTTTGTGTATTTAGGTGTGAATTTATCAGTGGAGACAGATTACTTACATTTAACTCTGATTAGTTTAATGGAATTATAAAAATTGAGTCACAAATGATGTTCGGGATACGTTTCTCGCCATCCAAGTGCAAATCGTTGCTCCAGGACTGGTCTTCAACGGTACCCCGACTAACAATGTAGAGTGAAGTGGTTGAGCGCGTTGAACACTTCACTTATCTAGGGAGTCGGATCAGGCCTAGTGCATTGGTCAGTGGCCGACGAAATCTCTGCATGGATACAGAGGGCGCGGTTGGCTTTTGCCAACAAATGTCATCTGTGGTGCCGCCGCGATATCTGATTGTCTATTAAGGGTCGAGTGTTCTGCTGTATGGCTGTAAAACATGGCCGTTAAAAAGAGAAGAAATGAGAAGGCTTCAGGTGTTTGGCCATCGCTGACTTCATAGCATAGGCCGAGTTTCGTGGTGTCACCACATGAGTAACGCAGAAGTCAGGTGTAGAGTTTTTTTTAGGGGGGGGGGAGGAAGGTAAGTCAGTTGATATGGTCATGGAGCTTCATCAACTGGGATGGTTGGGACATATGTTGCATATGCCTCTGTCTGTCTCGTCGCACAATGTTGGCCGAAGTAGGTTCAGGCTGGAAAAAGATGAGGGGCGACCAGTTTTAAACATGGCATCAATGTATGAAATCGATTGTTATTTTGAGCCATGTGAGGCGATGCAGACTAGCCGGTTGGGGTCCACGAAACAAAAGAAACCAGTGGTTGGAGACTCAAAACTGATATCAATGGTGAAGATGCCTACACATATTATCCTCACACTAACCGCTATACTTAATCTCATCATTTTCTCATTCTTCCTCTTTTTTACTACTTTTTACTTTTACTTCTATTTTTGGTTGAATTTTTCTTTCCTTCTTCATCTTCTACTTCATTGCCTTTTTAATTGATGTGCTGATATGAGGTGTGGCAACTCGGACCGTTACGCAGTAATGCCTAGTCTTATGTTGATCTTGATGACAATGATGACGTGACAAATGATGAAATGATATTTAGATGAATACGTGAATCGAAGTTAAGCACTGTTGTAGAGTATAATCCCATATTATATAAGTTTATTCGGTACGACAAACAGTGAAACAGTATTATTTACTGGATGACGTTCCGTGCTCAATTTCTTTTCCAAATCATATCGTACATGGAATATGTAAATAAGCTTGGATAAATGGCAAGTGGTAAACTAGTCCATAGGATGCCATATATTCATGGTCTTTGTGTACCTCTGGTGAATGTGTGTAGTTTACATACCTTTGTGACAGTATTGCACATATCTGAGGAGGATACGTTCCCCTTTGGTGACCACTCTCTCATTTCTTATCCGAATTTGAACCACTGGCAAACTTATCATTCTCATACAAAATTAAACTTCTTTTGTTTTATAACTTTTCTAGGATCTAATTGGTATCGCAGATCGTTTGTCGACAACATTGTCTGGTGATAAATCAGACGACAGCAAACCTCAGTATCCGTCTAAACTGCTTTCTGTCCAATCTCTCCATGCACCAGATGATTTTGTTATGGATAGCAATAATAATAATAGTAATTCAGGGAATCATTCAGTGGGAACAATACGCTTAATCGCATTTATATGGAAATTTTCAGATTCCATTATTCGTATCGGTTTATTTGATTTGGATCGATGGTATCACGCACAAATGCCAACTTATATTAGGCACGTTATTTTACTTTGATTAAACTTGTTTATTTTTTGAGCTAGTTTACAAGGTGATTATTAATATGAATTATAGGATAACGAAAGTTCAGTACAATCTTTTTTTGCTTATTTTGTAAGATTGTAGCTCTACAATTGTGAATACTAACGGTTGGATATAATCATTTAAAACTCTTACCCCACTTTCTTCGTTCTATGCCATCGATTAGCACTATGGACGTCAAAATGCACCCAGTAACCTTATGCACATTCATGTGGTGGGTAATGAACCACACCTATTGCGTGAAGGCTAATAATACCACCTGGCCGCCCAAATCTTGGTGGGTAAAGCGGACCTGTAATCCCGTGACTCATTAGTTAAAAGTCAAGTGCTTAAACCAATGAGCCACATCTCCATGGATACCACTATAATTTCTCACATACTCACTTTGACTCATAGCTTTTCCTATACGGAGTCGCGTATCATGTAATTGACGTCTATAATGCTGATTAGGATATCTTGATTGTCATTGAAAAATCCGGTGACTCAGAAGAGTTTTCTTGTTTTAGTTCAGCTATACGCACCCCCGATGTCACGACCTTCAACTATCATGACGAACACATTATTATTCATCTACTGGTTCCTGAACTAGCATCATGATGATCAATCTATGACGAAAACTATTTCACTCATTCAATCAGTCTTTCTCTTCATATAACAATGGTGAATAGGATATTTATATGAATGGTGTTTTGACATTACCTGTATCATGGATATTGTGTACAAACATGTCTATGTTTATTCACTAGCCTAGTGACTATTACTTTAGTATAATATGTGATGCATTATGTTTATACCTCGAGTAGAAACACTAACATTTACTATGAGACTCCAGTGTATGCAGCTAAAGAGTTCATCATGTGGGATAGGCTGAGTGTATTTGTCTTTTTCGAGTTATCCACTGATAAACTGCATTATTTGTTGTGTACTTGTCTATCGGAATAAGTAAATAATCTGCGTCATGTTTTAATCTGCTTGGTGGCTAGTGGTGGATGCGCTTTTCGTCCTATTTAGCACTCGTCAGCTGGAGGTCGAACAATTCGTCCCAGTTTAGCAGCTTGAGATTACATGTTTTACAACCAACTGTTCAGCAACAGCATTCACTCCATCATATTATCTGTACTTCTCTTGTTCACCTAGTCAAGGTTTATTATTTGGTATGTTCAGCTAATATGGTTGGAAACTTTCGTCTACTAAAGAGGGTGGGCACTGTTTTGCATGTAGTTGGGAACTAGGATTCCAAATTGGTGTCTGTAAGACAACTGAATTAGATAGTTGGAGAAATGGTTCAGAATCGATTACTGTACCATAGATGTATTTGTGTGTGTTTTCATCTAAAGCGTATCATTACATATCTTAACTCTTCCCGTCTCCCCCCAACCTTCTTATGTCTTCTGATGAGATAGTATTAACTTATTTACTCCTTTTTGAGTTTCGTCTCAATGTGTGCATGTGAAGTGTGGCGAATCAGACCGAAATGCAGTAATTCCCGGTTCTATGCTGTTAAATTCTAACTTGTCTGTTTGTTCGGGTATATACTGTGACAATGGTAATGAGTTAAACTTTTTCACTACCCTTCCTCATTTATTTACTAGTAAGGCAATGACTTTATGCCCAATTCCATTTACGTTCGTTTTTATGTCTCAATAAAAATAATACTATCTATATATCAAGTGATTTCCTTTTATATTTTGTTAACTTGCAGGTCTGATAACACATTCATTGCTATTTTTGATGCATCTATTCCCAGTCAAAAAGTCCAATTATTGGTAAGTTCTAACGATATACTCTTAGCTATATAGTAATTTATATCATGATATGAACTCTCTTAGTAAACATACGTTTCTACTGAAATTCAAAATTTTTCCTAGAATTGTTCTAACAAAAATTAGCCTAATGTTTTTACACTTATTTTACAAGAATCTTAAGACAAAGCTCACTATTGTTTCATTTTATCGGTTGACTACTATTTCTATTTAAGTAGTAATTTTAGTCATTTTAAAATTTCCATTTTACATATTAAAAGTCAAAATATGTACGAAGAATATTCTCTCCAATCACTTCTCTTCATGTTCTACAATTATAAAATCAAATTTGTTAACATAGTAACAGCCAAATTTTTGGCAAATGCGCTTTATATTTTAAATCATAATTACAACTAGATTGTGTTAAGTTTGTGGATGATAGTGTAACTCTAATGTGTATGTCAGTTGTGGTGATAAGTTGAGTGTAAGCCACCTCAATAGCATCCATCCAGCATTTACTTACTAGTCCGAAAGTGATAATTCTCTCCGTTTCAGGTTGATTTTCATCATGGACTGACATCAGTTGTAAAGCCATTGGAGACCTGGGAGAATTCGGGCCATCCAAGTCGGACGTGAGGAGAGTTACTCATCGACGGAATTGGATAGAGTTCGCGCTGTATCATGAAATGACAGGAGTAGAAAATGTAGGTCATTGGGTTCCGACCTAGTGACTCAATGGTAATGCGTTGACTGTAGAACCTGATGTCGTGGGTTCGATCCCTGACCAGGTCATGGGTACGCACTTCTAAGGAGTCCCATATTAGGACAAAACAGCTCTCCAGTGTTCCCAGGTTTTCAATGGTTCTACGATTAATTTCAGTACGTCACGAATATTAATCTGAAATCAATAAATAAATCTCCATAGACCTCGAAATTGAATTACTCTCATTATTTCTTTGATGTCCAAAAGAAAGGATAAGTAGATACTTCCTGAGAACGAAGTGTATATAGGAAGATGACCAATCCACGGTATACACACTTCTTCAGCTTTGTACCAGTGAAGTACAAACAAATGTTATTAGGTGCCTAACATTCATCTCCATACCAATTTGCCTCGAAGGAATGACAAATCCTTCAGGATATTTTAAGGGAAAACCGATATCTCGAAAAGTTTAACAAAGAAAACATCGCTCATAATACTCGTAAACATGGATTGACAAGAGTGTAAAAGAAACCTTTATTTCTGCATCTTCAATCCAAACGAGACTCATCGAATGAAATTTTTTCACAGTGTTTATCCATGGTAACAAACAGAATTTTTCACCCAAGACATCTGTACTTATCCTATAATAATCAGCAGTTTTTTAACGCGAGACCTAGGGTGTTACCTTATCTGGTTTGGGCTCATCATCATGCATTCACCAATCCAACTGTTCTGGTGGAACAAGTTACGTAGGACACACTGTTAGACACGCCCATCTCAGAATACGAGAGCATCTACGGGGTTGGTTTGCAAATGGTGAAATCTACCACCTGCTATTGATTTGCACATTCGCCATATAGCAAAGGCTGTAGCTATAAGACCAACTAAGCCTGGACTTTGTATTAAGTACACGTTAAAAACTTACTTCTTTCTTGACTTTCCATTGACTAGACAGTATTCTCTCAACGTTTTCGTTTTTTCCTTATTCTTTCTTTTTTTTTTTGAGAAAAGCACTTGCCGCATATTTGGCTGTTACTATGTTAACGAGTTTGATTTTATAACTAGAACCTGGCGAGAAATTATTGAAGAAGATATTCTTTGTTCAAATTTGACTTTGAGTAATGATTGTAAAAGGCGATGATTTTCGTGTTTAATGGAAGCAGTAAATTATGACTGGTTTGAATAATTCACTTCGTTTTATGGAGTTGAGGAGTATTCACTCTGTATTTATGTTTCTTATAGAGAACAAGTTACTGAATCTCTCAGTTGCATAACAGCTAAATAAATAAGTCTTTTGATGCTAATGTCAAGAAATTCTTTTGCACAAGACAGTCTATATGCTGTTGCTTTTATTAATATCATTAATATCTAGACTGAAAATACAGACAGTATCGAGGCATCTGCGTAGGAGCCCATATACCAGTAGAGACCAATCAGACAACACGATATCAACCATACTCGTTGTACAAGAAGTGGCCATCATGACTAAGTGGCCTAGTCGATAACGTTCTGGTGTTTGAAGCCATCGGTCCCAGGTTCGAGCCCTAGTGGGAACAACGCTACTCACTGGGAGACAGGTACATTCAGCTGACTAATGAGTCCCAAATCGGACGAAACGAGTATCCTAGATTTCACTGCTACCCACTGTATCATTAATATCAAAAGACTTAACCGCCCGTAAGTTTTCAAAACCAACATATATCACACTTATATCAGAGAAAAAACGAACTACATACCACGGTTTCATTCATACCAATTTCTCTAGGAAACATTGAAACGGAGAGTGTTTGTTTATCTACTACGCCTTATGAATTGATGTCATAACCCCACTCTACCTACCGAGGTTTGGGCAGCCAGGTAGTGTGTATCATTAGCCCTTACACAATAGGTGTGGCTCACCACCTACTGTATGAATGTGTACAAGGTTGCTGAGTATTTTTTGATTTGATCATAATACTCGAAGGATCTTTTAATCAACTGAGAATAATCAAATGAGATAACATGTACGGTGGGACGTTATCTAAATACCATTATGTAGATAATTAGAGAATTACTTTGATTCCCCAGAGGCTGTTTACACTGACTACCTGGCCCAGCATTATGAAAAAATAGTTTAGTTTAATGAAAGTCAATTAATCTTGAGGATTGCATCAATTTCCAATGATCTTATTAAATTTGGAAAGTCTACACTAAACGTAATTGTTATCATTATTTGTGAACCAATGCTGTGATGTTTATACGACAACTAAATGCATATTGAGAAGTCAATCTACATTGTCCTACGATGTGACTGTGATTTGTAGACCAAAGGAGAATTTAGAAGAGCAGCTGAGGTTTAATGGGAAAAATTAGTGAAGAGTTTCATAGTCAAACTACATCGATCACTCACTCACTCACTAGGATTGTGAAACTTTACCATTTGCGATGATTTATTAGTTACTTATGGCAATGTACGTTTGTCATTAGAGTGGTAGTGGTTGTGCTTTGAGGAGGTTGAAAACAGTAGTAAGGAGTCAGAATAATGCGTAAAAGGCAAGTCAATTGATAACGTTATGAACCTTCATCGACTGAAGTGTTATGGACATATGCTGCGCATTCCATGCCGTCGCCTGCAACGTTAGCCGAAGTTGGGCTGAGCTAGAAGAAGGTTTAGTGTGACCAAGTAATGATGTGTGGCATCAGTCCATGAAGTCATTGACTGTTGGTCTCAGACATTTAAAGAGGTGAAAAGTATATACATTTGGAATACTTCACACTATAGGAATTAAGAATTGGAGTCTTTTGTTGACACAGCGTAAAACCGATCACAATGGTGCAGAAGTTATTCGCTATTTGACGTTTTCGAAGATTTAAATATTTTCACTGACCATAATTTTCAAATTCTTTCTCCCGATATAAACTTTTGTCTACTTTGATATCACTGTTTTTCTGTCTACTTGTTTCTTGCATCCTGTTGTAAGTGAGGCATGTCAACTTGAACCGATGCACTCTTGTTCGAGGTTTTACGTTGATTCTGTATCTCTGCTTGCCAGTATGTTGAGTTATTCGTTGCTATCCTCAGCACTGCGGCTAGATGTTTCGGCTTTTCCAATGAAGTGATCCAGACTAGGCAGACATTCCATATATATATATATATAGGTTTTAAGTGAAGACAGGAGTGAAACAAGGTTGCCTACTATCCCCCATGATATTCCTGATTGTGGTGGACTGAATCATGCAGTTAACTGTGGGGAGCGAGAAGAGGGGGATACACTGGCTGGACTGTGGAAAAGAACCTAGAAGACTTGGATTTCGCCGATGACTTGTGCCTGATGTCACACAAACTTGAACATCAACAGGCGAAAACTAACAAGTTGACAGAAGAGGCAGCGAAGGAAGACGGGACTTCAAGTGAATATAGAGAAGACAGAGGTGATGAAGATACCGCACCAACAACTTCAACAACAACAACAAACTCGGATCACCATCAACAGGAGAAGTTTAAAGGAAGTAACCTCCTTCACCTATCTAGGAAGCACTGTTTCAACTACAGGCGCCACAGGCACAGACGAGGATGTCAAAGTCAGAATCGGAAAAGTAAGACAGGCGCTCATTAGCCTGAAACCAGTGTGGAGATCTTCCGCACTCAGCACAAAGAACAAGATACGGATTTTCAACACCCACGTCAAGTCAGTGCTTCTGTATGGTTCAGAGACTTGGCGTGTTACGAAAGGGATTTCCAATAAACTACAGACATTCATCAACAACTGCTTACGCTCGCTACTGATGATAAGGTGGCCAGAAAGAATAAGCAACAAGGAGCTATGGGAACGAACCAACCAAGAACCTATCGCTCAACAAATATGCAAGAGGAAGTGGAGATGGATTGGGCATGCACTGAGAAGGCCGACTGGGGACATCACGCGTCAGGCCCTCGAGTGGAATCCGCATAGGAAGCGACGAGTTGGACGTCCGAGGGTGACATGGAGGAGATGGTGCGAGGAGGAAATGAGTGGTTGTGGGCTGTCGTGGAGCCAGGTTGAAAAGATCTCAAAGAAGAGAGTTCACTGGAGACGTGCTACTGAAGCCCTATGTTCCACTAGGAACCCAAGGGTCTAATAATAATAATAATAATAGTAATAATAATAATAATAAATATATAGGTTTTATTGGAGGTCAGTCGTGTGGCATGAATAGTTTAAATGTAAAGTCTGTGGCTTAAATACTGAGTGATGTAGGGTTGAATCTGTCAGAAAACATCAATTTACCCAAAACTGCAAGCACACCGCGCCATCAGGAATGAAATCTCTGTCTAGAGCTTCCTACCGCTTGACTCTTCACACTAAATATAATAGACTGGATTGTTGTGTCAGTTATTTTAACAGTCACACTACAGATTCGTTCGATACTCTCCTATCAGTATTAGTAGCTTGACAGATAATATTATGTGCTCTCTTTGTGTGTTCATAGCTTTTTGCTACCTTTGTTTTTAAAGTGTCTGTCCAAATGATGTTTGAAGTACCTATCGTTATACAACTAAATTTAGGTTATCAGCTGTATTTTTGTTTTCTTTATTCTCCTATCCTTTTCTAGTATGCTTATCTAATCGAATCTAGTCTTATGTCATTCTGGAGTCGTATAGTTCAACGTGAATCCTGCCTAGTCAAATGCTGTGAAGCTTATCCTCCTCTATTATTCGATTCATCTTCAAAATCATCGAAAGATCCTGATCGAATTATGATACCTATGGTAAATAATAATAATAATAGTGGTAGTAGTAAACGTCCACGACCAATACCAGAAGTACTTCTACGTCCATCATCTTTATCATTCCATTCACTTATATTATGGATAAATGATACAATCGGTAATAATATTTTAAATTTCTCTATTGGAAATCATCATTCTCTTCAACATTATGATTGTTTATATAATATAAGTAGAATAAATTTTGCATCACGTCAAGAAGAATGCCTTTTACAATTGAGTAAATATGAAAAAAAATTTTCAACAATTGGAAAAATTGGTGATTGTAAAAAATTTAATATTATTGATTGGTTATCTGAAGCATGGTTATGTGGTTTACTAGAATCACCAGGATTAGATGTAATTGAAGATGATGATTTTATGAATCTGTTAAATTATGTACAAAAAACATTTTCTGAAAATCATTTATATCAAAATTCAAATGAACTTGGCATTAATTTATCTTATGGTGAAGATTATAATAAATTGGTTATTGAAAGTTTAGACAAGTTAATGTATATAATATCAATGTATTCAAAAGATACAAATGATTATATGAATATTGATGATGATGATGATGATAATGATTTTATAAGTAATAAACGTAGTTCAAAATATCGTCGACTCAATTATACATCGAATTCTATGAATACAAAATCAGTTAAAATAACAACAAAGAAGTATGAGTATTCTTTGAATCCTTGTTGGGTACTACTAGCTAATTGTCTTTTAGAGCATGGATGTATTAATATTCTGAAGGTAATTTCCTTAATTAATGTATTTAATAATTGAAATATGAATAACTAGCTCTGTGTTTTTGTATACTAGAGCATATGTTCAACTACAGTTGACTTCATAGCATGGATGATTTATCATGATGCAACTTATATCACTGAAATAGAAGTCAAACGTAGTTTATTATGTAGAAGAGGTGACTCAATTCATGTGGTTGTTTTACGTTATTGTTGTTGATTTAATTATGTATAGCAATGACAGGCAGTGTGTATAGCAGTAGAATCCAGAATGCGCATTTCGTCCTATTTAGGACTCATCAGCTGGGATGTACCTGCCTCCCAATGCGAAGTGATGTTGTTCCCACCGGGACTAAGACTCAGGAGCGATCGCTTCAAATGCCAGAGCATTCTCCATTACACCACCGAACCACGATAGCTACTTTTTGTGCGACAGGTATAGTTTTAGTATAATTATTTTTATATGATACCGTCGTTGATTGATTGGACCGAATTGATCGGTCTCTATTGGCATATGGGCTCCTGTGTGGATGCCTCGATATTGACTGCGTTCTAATTGTATTAATGATGGATCGTGGGTAGCAGTGGAACCCAGGATGCACATTTCGTCCTATTTGGGACTTATCGAGCTGGATGTACCTGCTTCCCAGTGAGTGATGTTGTTCCCAGAAAATTAGCTTGTATTGTACATTTCTACTCATGAAATATTAAAAACGCTGTAAATTCTCAAACGCAGGTGCGATTTATGATCAAAGAATTTGAAATTTTCTTAGTCTTTGATGGAAATGACAACTGTGTATAAGCCTAATGTTAAGACTGTACTGTGGTATGCTTCAGGGAACTCAAATTTTCAAACCATAAGTTGTATTTTAGTTGACGCTAAGAGAAGCTAACAGAAGAACTGTACTACATATACCAGTGCAATGTATGTTTACTTAGAAGTCACTGCAAGCAACAGTTCTTGCAAGCTAAATCATCTTTCATAACTGAATCACTTGGAGCACACAGCTGACGAAATGATTCTTCTATCTGATTTCTAACTATACATATCAGTCAGTGGTAAACAATATGGTATAAACTTTGAATTATCAACTACGTCCCGCTATTTATACAGTCACTTGTGTATAATTTCTTGTTTGTACTGTCTATATTTACTTCGAGTTCACTCTATTCTTTTCATGTTGGCTATTATTGTATTTTGTTCATCCTTGTCAATATCACTTTAAGGATCTAGATAAGTTAACACCACCAGGACAAGAATCACCTGTCAATCTAAACTTCAAGTATAGTTGGATATGGCTACGATTTTGTCGGCTGAAATCACGCTTCGATAAATTGACGAGTTTACTGTTTACACCAAGTGGTATTGATCATCACTCAAATATACCAGATCTTTTGGAACTGGGCTGTACAGTCAATCAGGTATGTATAGTTTTTGACCTGTTTTTATGTGTGTTTGCTGTAAGATGATCTATCGATATGTTTCCATTGCTTCTGAGTTTATGGTTACCTCTCTTCGATGAAAACCAATCTACGTCCACTCATTATATGCGTTTTTCATTGCATTTGACAGACAGGCAGGTCAAAAAAACTAACGTAGGACTTCACAAACAAATGTATCGGCTCAGGTTGTCATATTTCACAGTAGTGTTCAGAGAACAAGTGGATAGGAAAATAGTGACATCGAAGTAGACGAAAATGTGTGGTAATAAAAAAATTGAAGACAATGCTTTGTGTGAATGTTCAAACTTTAGAAAACGTCAAGGAGTGATTACATCTGTGCGACTGTAACCGATTATCAGCCATGTAAGCGAGGGTCCTCAACCACTGATCCCTTTGGTCTTAGGAACGCCAACCAAGCAGTCCACACCTCCCTACATAGCTCAGACCAACAGTCAGAAACTTTATGGACTGATACCACGTTCTGGTCTGGCCACCCTGAACCCTCTTTCAACCTAATCCAATTTTCCCTAGTTGACAATGTCGTCTTACTTTAGGAGTAATGAAAAACAACTCATTAAATATCCTAAACGAGTGATTTCTGCTCTTTCAGATAGATTCAAAGAAGTTCATGCTGTATTATATACTAGAGTCCATGTCACTTAATGTTAGACTTTTGAAACTTTGACTGTTTGGGTGTAGGTTACATGTTAGAATCGAATACAACACAGAAAACAACTATATGTCCGATTACAAATTAGGCTTTTTGTTAGCATGAGTGCTTTTGAGCAGCTGAGTGATTTGAAGATGGTTTCTATCATTGGCTAACAACAAATGAGGTATCAATGAGAACCAGGCCGCCTTGAATAGTTAACTTGTTCTAGTTTAAACTTTAGCAGTGTACTACATGTCCTCAATTTTACTCATATCGGAGCTCAAAACGTTTTTTTTGTGATTTTTCCTGTATAATCTACTCAATTAGGGTGATGTTTGTTCACTATATCACTAAAATTTATGCAACAGTGGCTTACTACAGGTTTTAATTTCTCGTCACCTTCTGCAGTTTAAACAGTCATGCGATATAATAAACTCTGACACAATGGATATAACTCATTATTTAGTACACAAATCCATATTTGGAACTGCGGCTCACTGGTGTAGAACAATTGGCTTTCAACTGGATGTGCTGTAGGTTTGAATCTCATCTCACCTTTCAGGATCAAGGTTTAGGAAGCTAGGTAGTATCGCCAGCTCGCACGCAATCGATGTAGTTCATTGTCTGGTGCACAAAACTACATATGGTTGCTGAGTTACATTATTTGTTTTCTAGACTCTGTTGCTTCTATTTATTATTACGGTATTTCCATCGGATAATAATGATTTTCAAATCAGATCTTTGCAATATCTCACCACGGTTTCCTACACACACCAAAATATTTAGATCACATAATGTGATCTACTCGACACTACAATCAGCGTCAAGATCGTGAGCGTGAAAGCTGTACGAAATATACTAATGGCTGAAATGAGCAGTCTTATACCACTCAGACAGATCAACTGTTCTCGCTAGCCAGATTAAAGTGATGTAGACACCGTACGGTTATTTCTCTCGCATCTAGAGTTGTTCAGCTCAAAGAACTAAATTGTTCAAATCACCCGTATATCAACTAGCTACTTGACCGAACTGGTTATGCACCTAGAATCAAGTAATAAGCTGAAATACGGATAGTTTGAACAATTTGGTTCTCTGAGTTGAATCACTCCAGGTACACCACTGATGAGCTTGGCTCCAAATAAGCGAAACGGCCGTACGGTGTCTAGATCACCGTGATGTGGCTATTGAAAACTGCTGATCCGTCTGAGGGCTATAGGACTGCTACTTTAGGACAGTTTTAATCTTTAGTTAAATTATGATGACCTGAGTTTGTGTGTCTATACACGGCAGTGTTTTAAACTTAAGACATAATATTCAAGTAAAATTTTGTTGTTTCTGGTTACGATGACGTTCATGACATATCAGTAGTTGGACATGTAAATAGTCGAAGAGATGATACTGAGAAAAATAAGATGTTTCTGACGAGGGTGTTTACATCGAGAAACAATCTGCTATGATAAAATCACAAGATGAATACAACTGACTGTTAAAGCGATTAGTGCAGACGATGGTGCAAAAAACGCCTTTACATAACGATGGTAAAATCACCATGTTAGCGATGTTGAGGTTAGGCGAAGAATATTAGGCAAGTCAGTCGATGGGGTTGTGAACCTTTATCAACTGAGACGGCTTGGACACGTGCTGCGCATGCCGAGTCACCGCCTACCCCGATGTGCCACGCTTGGGAAAGTTGGATTAGGTTGGAAGAGATTTCAGAGTGGCCAGACCGAGATGAGACGTGGCACAAGTGCATGAAGTCCATGACTTGGTCTGAGCCGTGTTGGGAGGTGTAGACCACCTGACTGGGGTCCTCGCGACCACAAAAATCAGTGATTGATGAGGACCCCTAGTGACATGACTGAAAATTGGTCGCAATAACGCAGATGTGTTCACACTTTACTGTCTTATAGAGCTTGAATGTTGTGACTAACTCCTCCCCATACACCTTTGTCCACCTTGACATCAGTTCTTCCAATCCCACTTGTTCTTTGTATACTTCTGTCAAGTATGGCAACTTGAACTGGGGGATTTGTGTTCGAGGTTCTCCGTTGGTTTTATCTTCTCTTGTAGTGATCAACATGGATTCCTATGTTGTCTAGATTATTTCAGTGTATGTGGGAAGCATATTTAGATATTGACCTTGTGACAGATCTTTATTCTGTGAAATATTTGGTAAAGTTCTAATCAAGTTGACTGAAGTATTATGCATACTGATAGAAACACGTTTGCTCGAATTGGTCACCATTCTGTGGCCGATCTATTTATCTAGTCCTTATTCCTTAGCACTGGTCGAAGTCTACTGATCAAGCTTTACAATGTGACTACTCAGCGATGTGATACTACGACACTGTCATGCACTGTATTTTATCGTTGGCTATTTCTTTTTTGCATTGAGGGGTTCATGTTAGCTGTCAGGATCTTATCATTTAGTTTACCTTCTGCAGAATATTCATGTTTCACACTATTGATACTGAGCACGATTGTTCAAACCACTCAAATCACTTCATTGCTGAAATGAGAAACAGTGATAAAATGCTTCTGAGTAGCTGATACATACTAAGTTGATGTGGGAAGGTCCAGGGCTTCCTATCGATTGCCTCCATTCAACTAACGCCTATCAAAGCACATCTCAATGTTGAGCTGCCTAGTTTGGTGGCCATATTGCCAAAATGATCGGTAGAATTCGGTCAACACTTAGTACTAGGCAGCATGAAGTTGATTAGCTTCCAGCGACCAATCAATGAAGGTAAGAAGTGTTCCCAACTCTCAATTTTTAGATATTAACTGTGTGGCTGTTGCAGTGTTGTCAATTGAGTGAAGCTCACAAAAGCCACGTAACCAAAATTCTATACTTAACTGTTCTAATCGACAACATATAAGTTTTTTTCTGAAATTAAAATCTACATTGTTCAACCTTACAATTTGCCGACTAAACCGTAAATGACTGTGCATAAGTTATTGTACTGTAAGCAGTATCATGTTTCCTTTGTAGAGATATGACCTATTGGCTTAAGAACCCAACTTACAAGCTATGTGTCTTAAGTTCAATTCCCCCTCCACCTACTTCGCTCGACCTAGGCGACCTGATGGTATCATCAGCACTCATATAACAAGTGTGTTTCACAGCCTAGTAAACAAACATGCACTGGGTTGAGTTGCATTACATACTTCACTTTCTAGCGCAGACATATATATATATATATATATATATATATATATATATATATATATATATATATATAATCTTATGACTTGTATTGGTGTATATTTTAGATTCAACTATTAACAACAATAGCCAAGCACTGGTTTTCCTCTAAATCCAGTAGTTCTCCACATTTATCAATGAAGTCATCTACCTCAGAGAATCCTGTACAATTAAGTATGGAAACTTACCTATCCTATGCAAAACTTGTAATTTTCTTATTTCGTTTGGGCCTTTTACCACAATCAAATGAAAAACTATGTGACAGGTTTGTAAATATCATTGATAATTTCTACTTTTTGTTGTATTGAAACATTCTTCATTTCTTAATGTCTCACTACTTTTGGGTAACTATAAAACTGTCTTCTTTCAGCGTCTTATTTAAACTTGTGATATTATTTATGCCTGATAATACTGAGATCTAATCGGGTAGTAGTCAGATATTTCATGAATTTAGATCCGTTGATGAATTTGGATCATTTTATTTCATTTCGTGAAATAAGACAGCCTTCATATTTGTGTTACCTTTCGTTAATGGAGAACACTAACTTTGATTCTGATATTACCTCAAGCTAGTGAGTTTTATGATGTTCGAGACCCTATCTGGGGAGTCTTTAAACGCTAACGTTTGCCAATCCGAATCAACCATCCTTCAACCCATGGTACTATATCCAACTGACCATCTTCTGTTTCTACAGCAAGTTTCAGGGCTAGCGAAAAGTGAAAAGTCTGGAAGCGGGATTCGCAACATATTTCTAAGCAGCAGAAACCGTTATTTCAAGATTAAACCAGTCTGTCACGCCAGAACACATTCCACCACACCTCAGAATAACCTGTTTGATGTCTCCACTGGTTTCAAGGATCCCTTTGCAGACGACGGTGACTGAACCTACAGAGTTGTGGGACATTTTCGTCTCAAAATAGCCAGTTTTCACGAGTGTGACAAATCTAATAAGTTAATTAAAATGAAATTACATTTTACTGCAGTGCACAAGTTTTACCCTGAGTATATCTGATTTGTTACTGTTCTGTGTAGTCCTGTCATACGTAAACAACAGAGGATGAAAATGAAGTAAAAGACCAAAGAAATAGAATAGCACGACATAAAGCGTCAACCTGTATTCGTGTTGTTGAAAAAGGAGAGTAATCCTACTGACTGTTATTTAGATTCTAAAATTCCACTTTAGCGTCTAATTGGTTAACCACTATCTGAGTATCACCATAGAATTTGGGCTCTATGGTGGGATGTAATTTCATATTAGATCAGTCTGTTTGATATAGTACACAGTGGTACGATATTACTTACTAGATGACGTTTCGAGCATAGTCTTAATGGCGCATATTCATATCAAGGCCATCGCACAACTTCCTGCCTTCGCTCTTATAGTTTTACTGCCTATGAGGTTGGGTACGTAGATCAAACTAGCGGATCAGGGTTAGTCAGGTCAGCAGAGTATGCGAATCTGGCTAAGTCTAGATTGATAAACCCTACTAAGCTTCGTAATCTAGAAGCGAATTCAGCTGTAGCTACTCTTGTGATAGCAGTTAACCATATGATAAGGTGAGACACCTTGACGGTCCTAAATACCAGTATAATTAAATGCAAAGATAGAGCTTGATCACTGACTCTTTGTTTATCCATCCAACCCTTAACACACGTAATAGGGGAATGATTCAACATCTATTCCAGAAATATGGGGAATCCTATTACCAATCAGATCAAAGGTTGAAAAGGCAGTAGAATTATAAAAAACTCAGACAAAAAGTTGTATGATAACCTTGGTAACCGCTACTATCTTTTTTTATGACTAAACTAAAAAAAGATGTGTCTTTTAGAGAAATCAAAGTGCAATTTAATAATTTACAGATATTCAAACCAAGTTTGGATTTGATGGTATAAAAAATTTGAGCATGGGTAAATGATATTCATTGTTTCAGGAAAGCAACGCATTCGAACAAGTATTTAGATTTCAAATCATCATATCCAGTTAGTGAGAAAGTTTCTGTTGCCTCTAGTCTTTTAAAGAGAGCACATGCTCTAATAACCAATAAGAATAAAAGAGTTAAGGAATTAAAATATGTGAAGGAGATAATCAAAATGAATAATTATCCGGTGAAATTCATTCACAAAATATAAAAAAAAGACATTAAATTCGATCATAGAACTACTTCTAAAATTATAGGTCTCAACAATGGGAATATCAGAGTGTTCTACAGAACATCAAACATATTGCGAAGCACTCTAGTCCATTGGAAGGACAAAATCCCTCTAAATTCATAATCTAGCGAAACGTCAGTTGGAACAAATTTATTTTGTTTTACATTCATAAGGAAATACAAACACCAAAATAAGGCGATTTAGTAGTCTAACACGACTAGCTGAATTGATAATTGAATACTAAGCGATGTCATTGTGAAGTTCTGCGTATTGAATGCTTGTTAAAAATTTGTCTATTTAGTTTGTTAAGTGAATCCCACTGACAGTAAAGCTAAATTCCTACATTGATAACACAAATTAATCGTAGTGGATAGTTTAGCCTGTAAGATAAATCCCAATATTATCTGTTCTCTGAAATATACATGAAGCTGTTCACCAATTAGAAGCCATCATGAGATACTCACTCAAATTGAATCGCATACTGTTTTTATTAATGACAACAGATAAATATCATAATTTGGATCATACGATTTGAATAGAATAACCTGAACCCTTTCAGATATGATTTGTTGTATATCGCATTGTCCAAACGTTGCCTACACACAACTCTTTGGGCCTACAAGTCATTGGCTCCATAGGATAACAGATGGAAATACTGGTAACCCTGGGATACTTCTATTTCTCAGCACTTCCAATTCAAAACTCGTGTATACTCATTGAACTGATTTATAAGTGTTCAATAAGGGTAGAAAAATCAGTAATTCTGCTAGATGACTGTTTCTTTTAAACAGTAAGAAATCAAATCAGTGGATAGATAAGAAGTATATGAAAATACTTATAAGGCCATACTGTTTTTGTAAACTCGTTAGAATAATATAATTGTTTTTATATGATACCGTCGTTGATTGATTGGACCGAATTGATCGGTCTCTATTGGCATATGGGCTCCTGTGTGGATGCCTCGATATTGGCTGCGTTCTAATTGTATTAATGATGGATCGTGGGTAGCAGTGGAACCCAGGATGCACATTTCGTCCTATTTGGGACTCATCAGCTGGATGTACCTGCCTCCCAGTGAGTGATGTTTTTCCCACCGGGATTCGGACTCGGGAGCGATCGCTTCAAACCCCAATACGTTATCCACTACACCACCGAACTCGGTAGGAACAACACCACTCACTGGGAAGCAGGCACATTCAACTGACGAGTCCAAAATAGGACGGAATGTGCATCCTGGATTCCACTGCTAGCCACGATCCATCAATAATACAAACTCGTTAGAAGTTTGTCCCTCAATGTATAGCTGTTTAATCTCGCTATTTTCAGTTTCATTCGCTTCTTTTTTTGGACAGTTTCATGTTATAATAAATTCATCTAGTGTTTCTCACTTCTTCAATTGAAGCAAGCAAATTATTTTTTATTTAAATCTCTAAGGCTTTTAATTTTAATCTAATATCCTATTTTGTATGTTTAATCTGTTCACTACGTTTGCATTCGATTAAAATTACACCTTACTTTTTTATATTTCAGTAAATACTATAGAGATAAATCGTCTCGAGTGAATTCTACAGTTCTTCAATCGTACAATTCCTCAATGTTATCTGGATCAATTGATGAATTACGCAACACAAGATTGATGTCCAATCAACCAGATGACTTTACTATGAATAATGAAAACATCACCAACCAATTGACTACTATTGGCGAGCATCTTTTGTACACTGCTCTTCAGTCTCCGTTGAAAAAGAATTCTGATGAAGATAATTGTTTCACTGGGAATGAAGTTCATGATGTCTGGAGAGAACAAGAACAGGTGTTAGGTTCAAATCAATCAAGTGCCTGTAGAAATGATGAAAGCCTGCCTTTATTTCACACTGATGTACCAGATTGGTTAAGTTATCCACCGAGACATATACAATCATTATGTGCTTTATGGCAATTGCCGTGTAATGCACAGATTAAGCGATCACGTTTAGCTGTTCTAGGCTTCCTACTTTGTGATGCAGCAGCTGAAACATTCTTAATTCATTGTAACTATCAAACTTGTCATAGAGATATCGTTGACAATGACTGTGGTATTGATGGTGGTGTTAATGGCTTAAATAAGTCGAACAGTGTTCAAATGGATGATAATGTTGATTGTAAGACTTCTAGGGGATTAAAAGCTTTGAAAATGGTAAGAATATTGTTCATTTTTCTGTAAAATTTTCTATTTTACGTTGTACTCGATTGCATCTATGAAGAAACTCACTTATCTTACTGCTATTTCGTAAGTAGTGGAGGTATGACTCAGTGGTTTAGGGAGATGACTGTCAACCGATTGGGTCATGGGTTCGAACTCCCCTCCATATCCAGAGGTTTCGGCAGTCAAGTAGTATCACTCGCCCTCGCACAGTAGGTTTAACTCATTGCCTACCGCAAGAATGTGCACGAGTTGGCTGACTGGGTTTCGTTTCATTGGAAGCTGGCCTTAATCCCACAATTAGTCCGGGTCTTTTTCCAACTTGAAGTATCAACAGTAACTGCAACAACCTACACCTGTAAATACGAAAAATAACAGTACGGCTTTATAAGTCTCTATCTTTGAGTCTTTAGGTTGTTAAGCATCATTTGTATGGAGCTGTGGGTCATTGATTTAGGGAGTTGACCTTCAACCATCTGGTCACAGGTTCGAACCCCGCCCACCTACCGATATTTGGTCAGGTAGGTAGTATCATTAGCCATCATACACTATAGGTGTGGCTCACTACCTACTGTGTAAGTGTGCACAAGGTTGCTGAGTACATTTCGATTCGACAAACATAATTTAGCTTGTCGTACCTTGTCTATTAAATTCTTTAATCAGTACCTAGTTTTTAGAAAAATCGTCGGTTTTTGATGAGAATATATCATCATCATCAACCGGTTCACGATAAAATGTTATGAAGAAACCGGTGGTCAAAAATCTGTAGTCTCATCGTATCTACTTTCCACGAACACGTCTCACAGTCGTTTAACGCGACAGAGTGAACTGCAACGCAGTATTCTCATTCTTTAGTAGATAGTTGGTAATCTCTGCGACGCCAGAGGTAATGTTATATAGTGAACGATAGGTGAATTTTTTATTCGAGCTGAGGTTTTGTCAGCAACCAAATCATTTGGACTAGTGCAACTGCTCGTGATCGTGAAGCTGTTAATTCATTCTAACACTGTCTTTCCTATCCTTAAAGTGGGTAAAGCTCATGGCGTTCAGAAGATACTGTATTTTATCAGCGTCTTTGCCTAACAGAGCCATGTCTTCTGTGTACTTCAAGTCGATCACATGCCTGCTGCAGAAGTGGTCAATATGTGTGAAGTTGATAGTACCTAGAATTATATCCCTTAACGCACTGCTAACAAAATTGAACAGAGATGAAGACATTAGATATCCTTGGTGGGGATACCACTTATTGACGTAAATTCGAATGATAGCTCCCCATAGGCCCCTACAAAGCTGCATGGGTTTGAGTAGAAAGCTTTGATAGGCGTTGCGTAATTGTTCGGTACTCCCTTCATGGTCAGACGCTGCCACAAAACATTCAGGTCGATAGAGTTGAATGTCTCTGTCAGGTCAGCAAATATAATAGGCGTCAGCCTCTTGTAAGTGTATCTGTCTTCTAAAGCTTGCCTGGTTCTTCCGAGTTTTCTGTTTTTGAGTTCCACGTAGGCCGTTGTATAACTATCGACCTTAGGATCTTGGATACGATGTTGAGCAAGCCAAAATGAATTATTTCCCTACGGTTGTCACAAGAAGACTTCTCTCCCATCTTGTCAATGAGAATGGTCAGTTATGTAGACTAGTTTGATAGGATTACTTCTTGCTCCCATATACTCTACTTAGTTATTTTATACCCCAAGCCTTAGCAACATCTGGTGGCAAACTATCAGGTCCTGCTGCTTTGAATGACTTAAAGTTTGAAACGGCCATCTCAACTTCGAGGTGAGTTGAATGATTGAGATGTCCTTCCTAGTCACGTCCGAGTTGGATGCTGGGCAATTGAGGTGTTGCTGTAGGTCAGTTGAATTGTGTTTCAGTTTTCTGTCCTGCGTTTTGTCCGTCTGTCCTAAGAGGCTATCATGGTCCTATACTTTTCCGTGGTGGCCTCACCAACCATCGTTTTCTTCCACCCAGTATCCTTAATAAACAGAAATAATTGTCGTGTATTGGCTAGTGCCGATATCTTTTCAACCTCTCTCGCTTTTGTTACTTACTGCTATTCACGATCATTCTGACAACCCTTAATCAATGTATGTTTGTGCCGCTTTCTCTTCTCATTGTTGTCATAGCCAGTTGGAATGATTTTTCTCGCGTCAATCAGTTCGTATAAGGCTATGAAAATCCACTGACTTTTACTAACCTTGAGGTAATGGTTACCAAATATCTTTACCGCTGTTTTTACAACAAACGTTTAATAACCTGTACTTCCTGTCATGAAATAAGGGACAGTGAATCGTCTCACGGTACATTCACTCTTAGTAGTTATTTTGGTGTTTTACCACTCAGTTGAACAGTAATTAATCACTGACTACCTTGAAAATGAATTTTGTCTAAGTTTCAATGGGAACCTGTGACGTTTGGAGTGAAAACGTGTACGCCTGTCAACGAAATTCGATAGTGCTCATACTGTATCATGAATTGGCTGAAATTGGAAAAGGTGAAACGTTAAATTGTAACTCAATTTGCCAAATGTTTATGTGTTTACTATGAGATCTGACCTTACATCGATCTCCCTCTTGCATTAAGTTTGAAACTGTGAAGCTAACCATCTTTCGCAGATACTGAGACATACGTAAACTTGTGATTATCCTTGAATCTCTGACCCTATGTTTATTAGTTATTATTATTAGTTCAACTCCTAGATTTTTTGTTAAGTTTCAAAATTCGAATGAAATAACCGTCCACTTATCTCTTTGGTCTGAGGTAATTTCATGATGGACGCCGATTCAGTTTTAGAACTGCCTTTTCAGTAGTCGATTTCTACTGTGCCAGTCAATGAAAACGTGAAATTGAATTTCGAGGGAGTTGTAGAGATTTGGAAATATTTCAAGTTGTTATTCATCGTAGACTGACATCAGTTTGAGGAACAAAGAAAACCTGGGAGCACTGGACAGCTGTTTCGAGAAGTATTCCCGAAGTTCCAATGAGAAGTGACCGGTGGAGTCAAAGCCTGATGGTCGTGAGGATAGTTACTCAACGATGACATTGGGTGGCAGTTGCGCTATATCGTGAGCTAACAGAAGTTGGAAATATGGACCATTGGATTCTGACCCAGTGGCTCAATGGTAACGCGCTGGCCGCGGAACCTGAAGGCCACGGGTCCGATCCCTGGCGGGGTCGTGGGTGCGTACTGCTGAGGAGTCCCATACTAGGACGAAACAGCTGTCCAGTGCTCCCAGGTTTCCTTTGTTCCTCAAACTGATGTCAGTCTACGATGAATAACGACTTGAAAACGTGAAAATATATTGATAAGTGTTCTGTATTAGTTGTGAATAAACGTTTGACATTATAACAATAATATTAAATATTATATGCTTTCTCTTGTCTCACTGTTGTTCCTTTTTTTGTTTTTAGTGTCGTTATGTTATGTCTTTGTTTGTCAAAGAGTTCCCTTCAGCTTATTCTCTTATCCCTACAATTATATCACTTTGGCTTATGGATCGAGGTTATTTTCAAGTAATTAATCTAAACAGGTTCACCTTTTTCTATTTAATGGCTTTAAACTTTTAACAGTTGATTTCAGACGTTTATAGGAAGTAGTATTGCTAAGTTTAAGCTGTTCAACTGCATAAAAGGGAGAGGTTTGAAAAAAAACAACTTAATTCAAGTATCATAACAGTGGAGTATTTTAACAATCATTTTAAAATGCATGTGTGCTGGGGTCTAATCGAAACACATCCATCAACCTTCCGTACGTTCGTGCAATAGTCAATAAAAACATACTTAATGATACATACTATATGACTTCTCAAACCTCTGTAGGCAGAGTGGTGTTGGAACTCCGTATATCCAAGGGAGACGTCCAAGCAGGTAAATGTAAGCGTATAAGAATATTGACTATAACTAATTCACATTTACGGACGTATTAAACACAATTGGTTTCGATTCTGAACCATCTCTACTATCGTATTCAGTCATTGAGGTGCATTGTCTGTTAAACTGCATCCAAGAAGTCATGAGATACCTAAAGATGCTAACCCAACAAAAATATCCTTTATACCGTGACACCGCCTCCCGGCTTTGTGTAACCAGTCCCAGAACAAACGGACGGTCTGGAAGCCGGTGTTTCAGGATGGCCTTACACAATTGATGGTGATCTCTCACGTGCAAACAAACTCTGTCTCATCTCAGAATTACTTACATAATGTTTCTATCGAATTCCAGCAATTCTGCGGAGACATTTGTCGAACAGGTCAGGTTTCATAGGTGTAGGGCAGAACCCCCCCCGGCCCACTGACGCATTATATGGCTTACCCTTCGCAGCAAGGTTAACGTCACCATGGCAGTAAAGGTGACTCAGATTAGTGTATGTCGCTCTGGTTCTCAACATACGGTCAGAAATCTCATGAGTAACACCTCCATCAGTACTTACACAACTACAGAGATATTCAAACCTTTCGACAACTTCCAACGATTCACCATCAAGAGTGAATGTAGGTACATACTCCTGCTAGCGTCAAAGAAGTGCTTTGTATTTCGATGATATTTAAAGTACGTACCGTATCTAAAGACTTCGATCGCTGACTAGCTGAGAGAGATTTGAGTAGCATGTGTATGATCGTGCATTAAAACGCTACCATCCGTACACTTGAGATTGAAATTTCTTTCATTTGGTGACAGGTATACATCACAACATCGTACCTTCTCCAGAGCTGTTTCTGGATTGTCATCGATTACGAAGTTGAAAAGGGGAACGGCGAAATCCGGGAGCAAAGCCTAGCTTGGTTTGATATTTGTCTACAATGATGTTAGCAAATAATTTGCTTACTTCGACCTGACATTAAATATCCGGACAGTAGTAATAACAGTTATTATTATTATCGACGAGGTAGTGTTCATCACGGAGTTCGGTGGTTCGCAGTTTCTTACTTCTGTCAATTTGTGATATGGCGTGACTATCCACCAGTCTCCAGTTGGCATCTGCTCCACCTCCGACTGGTGGACTCCACAGGTCACAACTTATTAGAACTTCGGAATATCCATGAGGAGGCATGTTGCTATACAGTAATCTATTTTGAGGTTAATGATTATTTTATTTTTAAGGTAGTAATTATCACTGACTGTTGAGGATTTGGATGCTGAAACGAAACAGCTGTTTAGTGATGCCAGGTTTTTAGTGGTTCTCAAACTGATATCAGCCCGTGATGATTTATATATCTTAGATGTTTTAATTTTGTTTATTTTCCTCAAATAAGCGTAGTTCAACTTTGAACATGAAATGCAACTTATGTAACCCCTATCATGTGTGAACTTTTAACTTCACTCCTAATTATTTGTGATACTATTCGGTTCGTATCTACTGTAGTAGTATACTTTAACTGTACGAAACATATTCTGATTTGAGCTTGATTTATGACCCATTGAATTAGTTGGTCATGAGTTCCAACCCTGCATCATCTGCTGAGGTTTAGGCTACCAGATAGTGTACTGGGTGCTACTAATAAGAATGGATATAAGAAGTCGTAGGCAATTACGAGCGACAGATGGACAACGTGGGCGTGTAAAGAGCAAAACGAGATAAAAGAAGAAAAGGAAACCAAACACATTGTGCAAGTTGATATTTCAATGGAAAGGTTTCAATATTTCATCAGTAATGTACAAAGTGTCATAATAAACATCCTTCTGCTCTTCATCCTTTACTGTCTTCTTACAGTAGTATAATTAGCATTCTCTAGCTATTCTCACTTTGTCAGTTAATTTAAACACTTTTGAGGATATCTGGTCAATATTCTTCTTCTTTATACTAATGATGGATCGTGGCTAGCAGTGGAATCCAGGATGCGCATTTCGTCCTACTTGGGACTCATCAGCTGGATGCACCTGCCTCCCAGTGAGTGATGTTTTTCCCATCGGGATTCGGACTCGGGAGCGATCGCTTCAAACACCAGTGCATTCTCCACTACACCACCGAGCCACGATAGCCACTTCTTCATCATTAACATAAATAGAACGCTGGCAATATCGAGGCATCCGCACAGGATCCCTTATGCTAATAGAGACCGATCAATTCGGTCCAATCAATCAACGACGATATCATATAAAAACAATTATACTAAATTCTTCTTTGTTCATAATCTAGTTTAATCAACAAATGGTATATTCCCTGAAATCATAAGAATGTATCACTCTCCCGTCGTTGAGTGAATCGAATTGACCGGTCTTTATTGGTCTATTTACTCCTGCATAGATGTCTCAATATTATCTGTGCTTAAGTTATATATTAATAGATGGATAGTAGCTAGCAGTAGATTCCCATTGCTTTCAATATGGTCTGATTCCTATACCAATGATGAGTAGGCAATACTAGGGTTGCTGTTTTGAATCTGACCGCAGTGCAAATTTTCATTTCACCTTCAATCATCATCTTACCCAGTATTGATACTATATATATATATATATATATATATATATATATATATATATATATATATATATATATATATATATATGAATAGAAACATTTACCGTGTCGTATGAAAGTAGGATATTTAATCAAAATCTCTAGTGATTTCATTTAATTTATTTTTAAACATTATTTTATATTCTAGGAGTCTATTTCACCAAATATAATTTCTTTTATTATCAATTCTTGTGAATCGCAAACAATTCCATCATCCTCTTGGCAAGTGTACAGTCATCTTTTCCCTAATCAAACTAATATTATCATTAATCTATTTAAACACTATGGGAAAAATGATTTAATTGGTAATTTATTGAAATATTTAAACACTAGTAGTCATTCTCCAAATCTATATAATCATATTAATGATTGTAAAGCTCAGTTATCATTTCAAGGATTATTCAAGGTTACTTCTAATACTACAACAACAACTACTACTAATAATAGTAGTAATTATACTCGTCAACTGCTGAATATGAAACCAGTCGGGGCACCTTACTTAGCTTTATCACGGTTACGTAATCTAATTCAGAAGATGAATCAATTACACAATCATAAACCTTTGCCAGTGGATATGTTAAATTCTGTCGATAAATTGGCTCGTGATTCTTTAATTCAATTGGCTGAAATATGTAGACAAGGTGAGTAGACTAATGATTGTGATCCTAAACTATACGTTAGATGATGGTTAGATACTGAAAGTGTCAGTTGACACAAAGCCCATTACTCTGGTTTCTTCCCCTAAAATTTATTCATGACCTTGTAGAAATTCTTGTTTCCTTTGAGGTTCTGATCTATATGACGCGATATGGTACGATTGTATCTGCACATTATTTTCATCTTCAGTATTTTCTTATCCCTCCTTGCTCTTTTCCAACTACTTTCTACTACTCTTGACTGCTTTCTGTATCTTTCATCTTTGTGTATTTTCACTTGATGATATAAGATGTGGCTAGCTTGGATCGTTATGTGGTAATACCTGCTCCTGTGTTGATATTGTCTGTCTGACATGATTTGTTCCTTAAGTTCTGGAATGCATTATTAAGCTACTTATGCCAAAAATGACCACCTGTAAGACTGAAATATTTACGTAAATATGCCGATGGATTACCGATCTTTCACACAAGTTGAAAGCAATACTCCAACGCTCCTAGGTATTCTTTCGATTGTTTCTCGGCTAATGTCAACTCATCGTGTAACATCACCTCACGTTACTATTGAAGTTTTTCTAAAAGGTTTATTGATTAAAAGTGCACGAAATTAGCGAGAACGCTGGGTGTTCAAGAGATTTGAAGTCCCTCAATTTATTAGTACTTTCAAACAGTGAAGAAAAGCAACAATCTGTTCTGCCCACATAGTTATAGTAGTAATCTTAGTTACCTGAGAGTTGTTTGTCATATTTTATCCTGGCTCTTCGTCCAGATTTTTATAAACCATGACACTGGAAATATTATTTTGTTATAACCTTCTATGGAACACCGGTTGGAAGATTGAGGACTATCTTGGCCAAGTTAAATGATGAAAAGACGGATACTCACGAATGGTTATGAACCATGATGGCGTTATATCACAAGTACGAAAATATAGACCATTGAAGTTCAACCCCATATCCGAATCTTAATGTGCTCACCACAAACCTAGACTTGATCCCTCACGAACCCATGCGTGCACATTTCTGAAGAGTTTCGAACTTCGATGAGTTTACTAGCTCACTAGCTACTATCCGGTCCTAAGCCCGGATAAGCAGGGAAGGTTGGGCGTAGGGCTAGCAACCCTACACCGTAAAACCAGTCCAATCGTTAAAAAAATCTCCGAAACAGAAAAAATATGAAAAATAAGCTTATTCTTCGCCGGAATCGGAGAGGCGAAATGATGCCGGTTGGTGAAAGCCTTCGGGAAGCCAATTGACCGATGTGTCTTCTCTCCCTCGATGAAAGCGAAAGTAAGGATGGGGACATGAAATGCCCGCACCATGTATAAACCCAGCAAGGCTGCACAGATTACCAAAGAGATGGTGAGATATGGCATGGAAGTGCTAGGAATCTGCGAAAGCAGATGGAATGGAAGTGAACCCTCCAAACTCTTAACTGGAGAGGAGTCAATAATCTACTCCGATATTGTCACCCAGACGACAACCAAGAGCACACTGAGTTTTGGAGTGGCTACCATGATGTCCCCAAGAGCATCGAAGGCTCTCATGCAGTGGGAATCAATTTCCTCCACGACCAGGATCACGATCATGACAACAAGATTCAACTGAAAAGGAGGGGAAGTTGCAATTATACAATGCTGCGCACTAATAAATGATGCATATGAAGAGAAGAAGAAGGAATTCTACAGACAACTGCAATAAGTAATGGATAAAACCCCGCTCTAGTTGGCGACATCGAAATTCTAATGGGTGGGGTGAGATGAATGCCAAACTGGGAGCGAACAACACAGGTAGAGAACCAATCATGGGTCGAGAAACACTCGGTGAAATGAACGAGAATGGAGAACTGTCTACAGACTTCTGCGAATTCAACGATTTGGTGATTGCAGGCAGTGTGTACAAACAAGGATATCTATCCACAAAGCGACATGGATTTCATCATGCACCAAGACATCGACCATCACCACCTGCAACTCGTCCAGAAATGCCACCAGCAGCCCAGTTACCGAACTATCAGTGGACACAATCCCTCCGACAAAAACCGAAGTCCTGAATGCCATAAAGTTACTGAAATCCGGAAGAGCAGGACAACATGGAATTGCGTCAGAAGCACTGGAAACAGACGCAGAGACAACAGCAGACACGCTCAAACCACAGTTGCAGAAGGTTTACAAGGAAGGAAGGAAGGTACCTGCACATTGATTGGAAGAAGGGCTACCTCGTCAAACTCCCAAACAAGTTTGTGTGACCTAAGTCTTTGCAAGAACTGGTGAGGAATCATGCTCCATCCCTGTCCACCCGGAGCAAGGAAAATGTCAAGCCGCATGATTCTGGAGATACCAAAACATGCCCTGGATTCAAAATTACGACCGGAACAGGACGGTTGGCTGGCTTTAAGGAGAACAAATTATGTGCGGATGAAATTGGAAAGCTACGCCACGCATCATCATAGAAGAGAGTATAGAATGGTAGTCAACCGTCTACCTGAACCTGATCGATTTCCAAGAGGCCTTGGACAGCATCGACCGAGAAGTAATTTGGCAGGCAGCTGCTTCAACACTACGGCTTTAGTGTCACAAACCCTAATCAACCTCATTCAAGTTATTTGACGACACTAAATGCCAAGTGATTCACACACAAAACATTGAATAACTCAGTGATGGCTTTTAAGTGAATACATGAGTACGGCAAGATTGCCGCCTACTATCACCAATCATCTTCCTGATTATAGTCGACCGGACTGGATTGGATCATGCAAGAAACTGCGAGGAGCGAGAAGGGGGGTGCAGACGCTGCTTGACCGATGAAAAGACCCTAGGAGATTTGCATTTCACCGATGATGCTTTATGTCCTATGTCACGCAAACTCGAAGATCTATAGACAAAAACTAACAACTTGGCAGAAGAGGCAGGGGAGCGAAGACGGGACTTCAGATGAACGTAGAGAAGACAGGTGATGAAGATACCCAACCAACAACAGGGAGCACCAATCACCATCGATAGGGGGAACCTAAAGGAAGTAGTCTCTTTCACCTACCTACCTGCCTAGGCAGCATCTTTTCAACTACAAGTGGCGTTGGGAGGATAGATAAGGGTATCAAAGCCAGGATCGGAAAGACAGCAAGACAGGCCTTCATTAATCTGAAACCAGTGTGTTGATCTACTGCACTCTGCATAAAGAACAAGATCCGGATTTTTAGCACTAATGTCAGTCAAATAAGTTTCTATATGGTTCAAAAACCTGGCATGTAACGAAGAGCATTTCCAACAAACTACAGACATACCTCAACAGCTGTCTACGCTCGATACTGAAGATCAGATGATCGGACAGAACTCTGGCTGGCTGTCAACGAAGCAATCAATAACCCATCGCCCAACAGATATGCAGTGTAAGAAAGGGGAGATGGATTGGACATACACTGAGAAAACCATATGGGGACATCGCGCGTCAGGCCATCAAGTGGAACCCAAATGGGAAACGATGAGTTGGGCGTCCAGGGGTGACATGGGGAAGATCGTATGAGAAAGAAATGAAAGCTTCTGGATAGCCAAGACTTGGTTAAGAAGATTGTAGAGAAGAGAGTGCAGTGGTGACTCGCTACTGAAGCCCTATATCCCACTAGCAACCCAAAGGACAAATAATAATAATAAATTCAAACTGAGACAAAACAGCCAAGCCATCTGCCTTCACGTTTTCAGTGGTCATTTAAGTAACATGACTTCTCAGCTAGAAAAGTACCTGGAAAAGTTTTCGTCTAAACCTCTACCCAACTAAATTTCTACCTTTTTCTTAACCTCATTGATTTATCTATTTTTCTTAATTCTAAGGTTCAGTCTTCAATCTTCCACAGAATCGTAAAGAAGCAGTAGTCGTACAAATGATGTCTTGAGCAAAGCTCTCGATATTTTCAAACTAAATTCTAAATATATGTTTTGGTAAATTTTACAGTTTTGACATCCAACCAATTAAAAGTAAAAGTAAATTGATAGTAATGGTGGATAGTGTAATCCAGGACACGCGTTCTGTCCCTTTCGGGACTTGTCAGCTGGGATGCTCTTACTTCCCAGTGAGTGTTTTTCCCGCTTCACTTTAAACGTCAGAGCATTATCCACTCGACCACTGAGTTACGATATTCACTCTTTGTACGATGCGTATGGTTTTTATGTTGCTTGTAATTTCCCGTCGTTCATTACTAGGACAAAATGCCAATTCTAGATCCCCCTGTTGGCTATTATCCATCATTACTATCCGTGCAGGAGCCCACTTGCCAATAGTGACTGTTCAATTCGGTTCAATCAACGATGGGGAATTACAAGCAAAAATATCAAAGGAAATTGTTTAGAAAATGTAATTAACTTTCTTTTTCCATATCTCTGGTATACGTATTGCGTCATTTCTATTATGTGTCGGGTGTTGATTCGATTAACTAAGATTCAGTTATCAATCTCCCCCTCTCTTTCCACCTAATTATATTGGACTTGAGTACAGTGGTTTTATCTCACCCACCCTATTGTGTGATTATGTGTTAATACATGCATTGCAATAGCCGAGCATAGGAATTGAGCAAAATATAGAATGACAGACCCGAATAAGATCAATAATCTAGAAAAACACTTGGTTATTGCAATGGATGCATTAACACAACCACACAATAGATTGGATGGGAAAAAACCACTGTACTCGAATACAATATAATTAAGTGGATAGAGAGAGAGAGAGAGAGATTGATAACTGAGTCTTTGTTCATCGAATCAACACCCAACACATGTGTAATAGAAATGACACCACCTGTCTGTATCAGAGATATGGAAAATTTTACTACTAATAAAAACAAAGAACATGAGGTGATAGAACTATAAAAATCAGATGTCGACAGTTGTGTGATTATGCTGGAAACGTCATCAAGTAAATGATACTGCATTATTGTGTGTTATAAACTGAATCAAAGTTTCTTCATCGATGTATATTTCAATGTCCAATGTAAACGTCATGCTTAACTGGAATTCGTGTGAATTACCGTATTAATGGCGATGCATTTTGGATTGATATCTTAGCGTTTCCTATCTAATACTTCAGTATAGGCAGTAATGTAGGCGTTCTCTCACGATTTCACGCACTCAGCAACCTTTTGGAGTAGGCAATAAACCACGTATATCGTGTAAGGGCTAATGACACCTATCACCTAGCTGCCCAGACCTCGGTGGATGTAGGCGGGACTTGAACCTATGACCCATTTGTTGATAGATCATCTCCCTAAACCACTAAGCCATTGCTCCACTCTAAGTGTTCATTGCTTAAACTGCTAGTAATTTGTATTATGGTAGGTGTCGATTAACAAAAGGTGTGTATGTAATACTTTTCTACAATGTTAGTTATCTCATGAGAACAACAGTTGTATCAGATAACATTCAATGAACACTTGGTCTTCTAGTAGTTTTTATTTACACTAAGTTTGCTATAATATCTTACCAGTTTCGCTGTTGTTGTTGTTGTTGCTGCTGTTGATATGCTTTTTGTTATACTTTTCCTTGAATAGACGGTCGGTTAGGCGATTTAATTGGTTTAGGTTTAAGCATTTGGGAGGCTAAAGTGTTATTTGAATATTATCGAAAAATTGGACAGCACAATCTACTATTCCATTGTTTTATTGCACGTTCGCAATATCAGGTGAGTCTTAGAATTCAATTTATATACACGTTTTATGGTTCGTTTGGATATACCAACATATGTATATCTTTTATCTCTACACTTCTACTGCCATTGGTTAATATGGTTAACAAGTGTCATGTGAACTACAAAGGCATTTATGATCAGATTTATCAAATATAGTTTTTATTTCATTCCCTTGATGTTCTTCTGGTGATTTTGCGTATGTTTATAGTCAATATACGCTGGACAATCAGTATGTACGGTAATATACAGAGGGGAGTTTATTTCACATATTGTTCAACTGGAAAAGTGATGCAACCTACTGAATTTCATGTTTGACTGTTGCATTTTTTTCAAAAGATGATAAATCCGTTTAGCATCTGATACTAAAGGGTATACTATAGATGTTTGTTGAGTATGCAGATTGTATATACAGAGGTAAAATTATCACAAAGTGAAAATCTCTTTGCTTTGCATTTTGGATGGCATCATATTCTCAACCTCTGAGACATTCAAGAATCTCTGTTCTCACTTATTATACAATGTCTCCACATAGTTTTACTGATAACGTTGACCGAAGTAAGTTCAGGCTGGAAAAAGGCTTGGGGCGGACAGACTTAAACACGGCATCAATGTATGAAGTCTTTGTCTATTGCTTTGAGATGTATAGGGCTATGCAGACTAGCCGGTTGGGGTCCACGAGACCAGAGGAATTAGTGGTTTGGTATGTCTCAGAATCGATGTCAATTGTGAAGATGTATACACACATTATCCTCACACTAACCATTATACTTAATCTCATCATTTTCTCATCCTTCCTTCCTCTCTTTTACCACTTTTTACGTCTACTTCCTTTGATTGATTTTTCTTTCCTCCTTCCATCTACCATTTTGTTGCATTGTTACTTGATGTGCTGATATGAGGTGCGGTAACTTGGATCATTATGCAGTAACGCCTGGTCTTATGTTGATCTTGATGACTGCTAACGTTCTTCATGTATAAACTTAAATTACTCGAGTAGACTAAGTCTATAAGATAATAGCAATACTGAACTCAAATAGACACTTGAAATGAGAATACGCTAACGACTGTTAACTGAGTCATACAAATACTAGAAGACGAAGACTGGTGTGTCACTGCAAGAATGACTTCAATCGACAAAAGTACATCATATATATTTATGGTTTTCACAAACATATAAAAGTGCTAGGTTACGGATAATTAGTTTATCCTGATTAGCTCTCTAAATTGTAGGAATCGTCCAATAAGATTTATCCTGACTGAAGAGGACCATCGACCGAAATTTGAAGCTCAAAAATTTTCACCTCATAGGCCAATGACTTGATTGTTTCCATTGTATTAGCCACTTCCTATCAAAAATAGTTTATTTTGGTTTTGTACTTTTTTGTCTCGTGTTTTGATCTTATCGTTACTACTATTAACATTGTTGTTGTCATTATTATTAACTTAATTCATACGCTTTCCCATCTGTTGGTTTTTCTCTTGGTGTACTGTTCGATAGCTTTCTTGTCGTTGCTGTATTTTATTAGATCCTACATTGTAATTGTCGATCAAAACAGAGTGTTCTTTAGCGGTGAAACATACCTTTCATCTTCATACATGTATTCTGAAATATCACATTTAATTACGAAACAAAAATGTTCACTTGGATAGGAAAGCTATGTTTAGTGGGCTAAGAAACGATTAAATACTGAAAAATAGCAGGCAAACTATTGTTCTCTCTGTATGTGTAACCGGTATCAAATTTGTGACCTAATCGGCAAAATTGAATAGGTTAGATCAAAACTCCTTTCATCAACATACTAAGTTTATGTCGTGTTTAGTCTCACGCATACATGCACACTGTTGAACAGAATATAAAGGAGATTAACAAAAGTGAAATGGTATGAAAACCATTGGATGATTGGAAGTGAGTTGTCGAATTGCACACACTTGATAGCAATCGTCAGCAAGGAACATCTACAACCTCGGGAACACTGATTTCTTCTTGAATGCGCAGTTTAAGCATTTCGCTTTCTTTGATGATGTAGTGAGCAACTAGTCTCAATGGCACACCACTTACGTATGTATATGCAACAAAACAATGTGATGAAATCTCATACGTTGGATTTGGTCCATTACTTTATGCAGAAACCTGTTACGTGGTCGTTTAGTTGCAATGTCTGCATACTAAAATTCGAACGATAGGAGGATGGGAATGTTATGTAAATGTGACCGTCGTGGGGTAAGGTGCACTAGAGTTTAGTTTTTTGATGGATACCCGAACGAATTGTAAAGTGAAAGACTCTGAATGCTGTTTGCAGTTTGTCAACTGTTGTCCTACACATACTTAAGAAGGTCTCTCTCTTCTCCTTTGACTTAACAGGAATTAAGCTCGTCGTAGGAGAATCTTTAGTTAACTCACTTTGTGCACAGGCAATATGGTCCTGTTAGATGGATTGCTGAAGAGACTCAGAATCTTCTGAATATGTTGAGTGGCAATTTGGGAATGGTTGTGGTGCATCTGTCACCTCTGTCGTATCACAATTAGGTTTTTGTGTTAATCTTTCGTATTTGTTTGACGTGAATGATATAAGTATGTTCCTTTTTAATCTTGTTTCAAGTCGTGTGGTTCTTATCATATTTTGCTTTGTGTCCGATGGTCGTCTATATATAGCAATTCGTCTTGAGATTTTGTTGTTCCTGTTTTCTAACTTTTCGAGTACGTAGAGGGATTTTTCAGCATGCTCATGAATGTCAGCATAAGCTTATTTATTCATTAAGAGTATTTACCATTTACATACGAAGAAGAATAAGAAAGAAAACATCAAGTACTTCAAAATGAATAATAAATAATTGCCAAAACACAAAGATAAATCAATGTGTAACGAGCAAGCAATCAAGTCAATAGTCAGTGAAGTCTAAGAAAAAGTATTTGATGATGAAAGTATCGTCGAATGTCCGCTACAAAATGTTACAACTCGAAGACATTGCCGGACATTGTGAAAACTTTGAAGAAGACGTACAAATAAACAATATTCTTTTCACTTAGCTCTCATCAAACTTTAATATACATGGTTTATTGTGATATGTGTAAAGCAGGGACCCAATCGTAGTGAATACTGTAGTCTATGATAACGAGGTATGAAATATGCACACATTAAACATCCGGACAGTAATAATAATAATAATAATAATAATAATAATAATAATAATAATAATAATAATAATTAGTAAGATAGTATTCATCATGGACCGGCATCACTTGGGGAACCATTAAGACCTAAGAGCACTGGATAATTGTTCCATCCTGGTGTGGGGCTCCTCAGCAGTCCCCACACCACCTCAGCAGAGATCGGACCCAGAACCTTCAAGTTTCTCAATGAATGAGTTAACCATTTACTCACTGGATTAGATTTCGATGGTTTGCGGTTTCCTACTTCTGTCAATTCATGATATGGCGTGACTATCCACCAAAGTCTTCAGTTGGCATCTGCTCCACTTCCGATTGGTGGACTCCGTAGGTCACGATTTCTTATTAGAACTTCGAAATATCCGTGAGGAGGCATGTTGCTATACAGTAATGTATTTTGAGGTTAATGGTTATTTTATTTTTAAGGTAGTAATTATCACTGACTGTTGAGGATTTGGATGCTGAAACGAAACAACTGTTTAGTGATGCCAAGTTTTTAGTGGTTCTTCAACTGTCAGTCCATGAGAAATACTTCCTTAAATATTAAATTATCTTAAACTGCAAACTTTAATATGGTTTTTCTACTGGGATACTTTATGATTATTATCTCAGTAATGATAATAATAATGCGAACAGGATGGTACTGCAAAACTCCAAATAATCACTATAGGGAAGTAAAAGTTGCGTAATACTATGAAATGAAGTGTGTGGATAGTCAGAGTCTAAGCAGATAGTACTTGTGTGTGTAATGTGTGAAGAAAAGGAAAAGGGTTGAAAAACTGACTTTATTTATAAGGTTTTCTCTGGCCAGGGGAGATATAAGGGTTGTATAGATGTGTTCCGTGCATAAGTGCCAGGGTTATTTCCTCTAATTTCCATAGCCTCAGATATACGTAATATGCGATTACGAACTCCATTCAAAAGTTCTTCTGAAATGCGATATATGATTTTGAACACTTTGGTCTTATGACCAGTATCGACTATATGTGACAGAATTGAACTTCTTATTGACTTTACTTCTCCCTTTCCTAGCGATGACGTTAGGTGCTCAGTAACACGTCTATTAAGCTGCCTAGTGGTGCTTCCGGTGTAGCTTTCTCCATGAGAGCATTTTAATTGGTAAATACACATGGATTTGACAGATAGGTCAGCATAGAACCTAGTGCAAAAGCATGTATCTGTTCAAGTTGCCACACTTGCCAATAGTACAGAAAGACAAAATGAAAAGTGGAATTTCACTGCACTGTGCATTTACACTTTGATATATAGTTGAATATTGTATTGAAGTTATAATTGGCACAGAATGTTGGCTCACCTGATAGCATATTATGAATAGTTATTAACTTAAACTGTCCTCTACTTGTTGTATGCAACATGCGATATTTTTCTGTTATTGACGTTATTTTGAGGGAGTTGTGGGGATTTGGAAATATTTCAAGTTGTTATTCATCGTAGACTGACATCAGTTTGAGGAACAAAAGAAACCTGGGAGCACTGGACGGCTGTTTCGTCCTAGTATGGGACTCTTCAGCAGTGCGCACCCACGACCCCGCCAGGGATCGAACCCGTAACCTTCAGGTTACGTGGCGAGCACGCTACTGTTGAGCCACTGGGTCAAAATCCAATGGTTTATATTTCCAACTTTTGTTAGCTCGCGATATTGACATTATTACCTATCCTCCTTCCATTCTAGTTTGTTTTCAGAGTGTACCATACAAAGAAATAGCATTATTCACTGGATAACGTTTTGGATTCAGTCTATTGTCCATAATCATATGAATGTTATATATTTACTAAATAAACTATAATCAAATTACAGTCAACTATAGTGAACTTATTTTGTGCGCATATCATGTCTCTTCCTATGTTTACCTTTTTAATATTTCAGACCGCTATGGCAATATTTCAAGAATATCGACGTGTTGTTCCATGTAATAATAATTATAGAAGGAGTGAAGTGTTGCATAACCCTACTAGTTTCACTGATGATGAACAAAGAGTACAACTACAATTAATGACACAGTTACTTTACTCATGTCTACCGTTAATGAATAACACTCACAATAATATTGATGACCCAGAGAGGTTAACCTTACTCGGTAGTCATAATACTGATTATTTCAAAGCTTTAGCAAATAAATATGTTAGTATGGATGACTTTCAAACTCATTCTGAATCATCTTCATCAGTAAATAATGATGTTCAAGATGCCAATGGTGATGTTTTCCAACACTCACTTGATAATGACGAGAGTTTTATCGCTTATAAACACACTAAAGCAGTACCATGTTCATTGATAAACATGAAGAATATTGTAAAACAGAAGTCATCTATCGAGTGTCCGTTGACTTCAGTTAATGGTTCAATACCAAGCGATGATGATAATGATGAAGCGGCAGCAGACGACACTAGATGTATTATCAATAAGTCTAATTCGTGGCTTTTAGCTACAAATAAAAAACATCGACAAGAATTTTGGAATACATTTAAAGAGTAAGTCATGTTTGTTGAAAACATATTATAAAGTTATTTATAACATGCTACCATTGTAAAGTTATTGTATTTTCTAAAAGCCTAGAACAGACTATTATTTATTATTCTGGCATATTTCCCTTGAAACTCATGATAAGTAGTCAAACGTTGGTCAGCTTTAGAAATGACTTCCGTAGTTCTTATTTGAACTTCTTAAGATCATACAACTTGGTAGATTCAAGGGTTATTAGATATACTAAAGAACCAAAGCTAATAGAAGTCATAATCGAACCTTATGAAATATACCTCTGAACAATTTGACTAGTTAGAGACTGACTAGGCTAATCTGTAGATTTCACCAGTTAGACTGGTATGATCTAAACACTAGACAGCCGTTTCGTTTGTTTGGGACCGAGCCCGTCTGCTGTGTGCCTGGACAAATTTTGCTCACACAACTAAATTGTTCACTTCGCCTGAATCTGGCTAGCTGACTTCCATGGATCGGTATATCTAAGATAGAATGATCAATTTACAAGTGATTTACAATTTACACGCTCTATTTTGACATTTCTCACAGCTAAGTAGTGTTTCAACTACTGCCCAGCTAGTGTCAACAGGGTTTCCGTTAAAAACCATCCAGTTAAGATCACAAGGTCTGATGTCTGACACAAAAGTATTGTGAACTAACGATGTATACTGTTAAACAACTTGAGTAGCCAGAAACAACTCAAGTTGAGCTATGAATTTCCCCAGTTGTCATCATAATCGACGACAACTAGTGGTGTCTGCCAGAGATGCCCACTGTCACCGTTTCTATTTAACTTTGTTATAGGCGTACTAATGGACGTAACCTTAGGTATGTCTGACTTCACGGGCATTGACCTACTCCCTGAAGGTCCTCTGCTTGACTTGGAGTACACAGGGGATATGGTTTTGCTAGGTGAGCCCGTTGAGCAGGAATCTGAATATGTTTGACACAAGTTTCGGTGGCACCTGTATGTAATATGTAAGATGATGTTTCAGGACTGGTTTGCAACTACTCCCAGTCTAATGATAGAGAATGAAGTGGTGCGATATTTCGACCACTTGACTTAGTTGGGAAATTGCATTAGCCCTATCTGGCTGGTTGGTGACAAAATCTCAGCTCGGATACAGAAGGCTCGTGTGGTACATACCAACCTGAGTCACCTGTGAGCCCCCATTCTGTCCTATTGTACGGCTATGCGACATGAAGCGGTTTTAGGGTTTTGATCATAAATATCTTTGTAGCATTGCTGACGCTTGGTTGAATCACCCGTCAGGAGAGGGGTGCTAAACAGGTTAGCTAAGTTAATTGATGAGGTTGTGACTCTTCATTGACTAGGCATGTGTTATGCACACCAAGTCATTAGGTACTTCGACTTTTAAAAGCTAGAAGTTGCGATAAGTTGGAAGGCCGAGGATGGCTACACCAAGACTTGACACCAGTCCATGAATTCCCTGAATCTTAGTCTGAGTCTTGTGATCTCTGACTCTCTGTCCCCAAGATTACAGGCATCATTGGTTGAGGACTCCTGTTAATATGTCTAAAAATCAGTCACAATGGCGCGAATGTGTTCATGCCTTGATATCTTCTGAAACTTGAATATTTTGATTAATCGTTATCTTCAAACTGTTTATTCTCTTACATAACTTCATCTACTGTCATATCACTCTTTTCCTATCCACAAGTTCTTTGTGTACTGCTATGATCTTGAGCCGATTCACTTTTTTATGAGGTTCTTCGTTGATTTTATCTGCCTGTCTATCAAAGTGGACTGCGCAATTTTTTAATCATTTGCAAATTAATCATCCTATAATCGAGTCTTCTTATATTTGTTATTCAATTACTTTCTAATTATTTTCTATATCTCTCTTCTTACATGTGTTTACATAGTTGATATGGTATTTTGCAGTGTACATCTCTTGATGTTCATCATAACATTTAACTTGTGTTCAAATGATTATGAAAAACTATCTGTGTATTAATTGAAAGTTAATGATGCCATCTAACTTCCTAAACCAGAGTGTGAAAAAAACAATAAACTTATAATCAAGTTGATTACAGTGAAGCATCTAAACTACACTCTACCCATCGATAATGATGTAATTCTCAAAAAATTTATTCCTATAAGATATCACTTATATATTCACATTACAGTAACCATATATACTTCCATATACTAGCTAGTCTATGAATTCATTCTTATTATCTAGGAAATATTAAGTCTATTTATTCATACTAGACATTAGTAGACGGAATTCAAACTTATCTATATGGTTACTCGTTTGTATATTTGTCAAAGTAGCTGACTGGAATATAGTTGACATGAACGGTTATCGAATAATTGAATGTCAGACACCGTAAACATTTGTCTTTGTTCGTTTGACACACAACTGACTTTAGAAATCCTCAGTCATAATTTTATGTTATTCGTTTGTAGATTGAAATATATAGATTTTAACTACTCATATAATTCAGTAGTATATTTTCATATATCATTTTCTAAATATTCAATTTGTTTATTGCTTTCCACCATATAGATTAAAAAGTCTTCATCAGAGTTGTGGATTAAATTCAGACATTTGGCTTAACGAAAATCGTCGTCACACTACTAATAGTACAACTACACCGACACCATCAGCCAATTTGAGTGAATCTCGACTAAAGTTTAGCAGAAAACGTGAATCCCCCTCTAAAGAGGATGATGTAACTCAACAATTGTTAAAGTAAGTTGATTACTCATATATATATATATATATATATCATATTCCTACTATACTAACCCGTTTCTATTGCTTTTCTCTGAAGTTGTATTGATCTTGGAGTGTAACGGAGGTAAATGAACATTTTTCAGCGTAAACCTCAACTCAGGCTATTTCCATTACTTATCTAGGTGGTATGGAATATGACAAACAGACATAATTAGAGTAGAACCTTGAACACAGATGCATCACTTCAAATTGTCATGCATCATAGTAGTATACAAACAAGTGAATAGAAAAAGACTGATATCAAAGCAGAAAAAGATATGTGAGAGAATAAACAATTGGGAGATAACAATTAATGTAAATAATGAAGCTTTAGAAGACATCAAGGAGTGAATACATCTACGCCATTGAGAATGATTTCCAGCCATGTAAACACAAGTCCTCAACCGCTGATTCCTATGGTTTCGGGAACCCTAGGCAAACAGTTCACATCTTCCCATACTGTTCAAACCAAGATTCAGGGACTTGATCGACTGGTGTCAGGTGTTAGTGTAGTCACCCTCAACCGCCTTCTAATCTAATCCAACTTTCTCTGGCATGGATGCCATGTCGAGATAGGTGGTGGCCGGCTTGGTATGCGCAGTGCATGATCAAGTCATCTCAGTCAGTGAATTTTCACTACCTCATTAATCGACTTGCCTATCTCGCCTGACTTCAACATGGCTCATACGGTGATTTTACCAAACATGGGCAATGTTACGGAGAGATCTCTGATCAAAAGCCTGTAATCGCTTGAAATCTTTTACTTTCCATCAATCACATCTCACAGCTGTATAACAGAACAGACTACAGTGGCACAGTGTACTCGTTCTTTGATAGATAGTATGAATATGAACAATCATTTGTGGTTGAAACTTTATCCTGTCAATAATACTGCTTCACTGTGTCATGCCTTTATTAAACAGATTTTACCGGAAGTGAAATTTACCACATTTCCCAAGTTTTACTACCATAAAAGTGAAACTTGTAGTCGTCTTATTCGAAGACTCATCAACAAACTCACCTTCATTGAAAAAAAGTAAATCAAAACGTACTCGGCAACCATGTACGAGCTCTTTCATTAGACAATTAGTCATGCCTATCTTAATATTAGTAATAATACTTCCTGACTCCGGTAGATGTGTCGGGGTTCCTACCCGTGATCCATTGGTCAGAGTTTGAGCACCTAAACCAATCAGTGACAACTGCACCCACCTTCATAGGCTAATTCCTTCCAAAAAAACTAAGCCTGTGTTAAGTTTTCATCGCCAATGAGATGATATGAAGATTGCGAAACTATTCATCCTGTAGAAATGTAGATACATTGGAGCTGATCTATATTTCTGTTAGATGTTGCATAATTGAAACTCAGGGTGGAGTATTGAATCACTTGATAATAAGTAGGATATTATTATGATTTTATTATTATTATTTGTCCCTTGGGTTCCTAATGGAACATAGGGCTTCAGTAGCACGTCTCCAGTGAACTCTCTTCTCTGAAATCTTTTCAACCTGGCTCCACGACAGCCCAGAAGCTCTCATTTCCTCCTCACACGATCTCCTCCATGTCACCCTCACCTCCGACACCCAACTCGTCGCTTCCCATGGGGATTCCACTCGAGGGCCTCATGCGTGATGTCCTCAGTCGGCCTTCTCAGTGCATGCCCAATCCATCTCCACTTCCTTCTGCATATTTGTTGGGTGATGGGTTCTTGGTTGGTTCGTTGCCAGCCAACCAGCCAGAGATCCTTGTTGCTCATTCTAACTATTCTGGCAATCCATCTGATCTTCAGTAACGAGCCAGAGTAGGCAGTTGTTGATGCATGTCTGTAATTTGTTGAAAATGTCTTTCCTGACGCGCCAAGTCTCTGAACCATACAGAAGCACTGATTTGACTGGATTGGTATTGAAAATCCGGATATTGTTCCACATGCTGAGTGCAGAAGATCTCCACACTAGTTTCAGGCTAATGAACGCCTGTCTTGCTTTTCCGATTCTGACTTTGACATATTATTATGATGATTGATGCTAATTTCAGTTTTTCTGGGACATATTTAAATTGATTTTTTGAATTGAGAGGATTCATCGAATGAATAGCCATGACCAGAATACTCTTTTGTTTAGCGATAAATCATCAGCTTTGTTGACTCCGGTGAAGAGGTCAGCCAACTATGATTGAAACTGCAGAAGGCACAAAAGCTTCTTTCATATCCAGACTAATACATCATCCAAGGTTCTTGCCTATTGCCTTCTAGCATACGAAACAACCTTTTGTTGTTTCTGTTTAGAGATAAAATAATGAAATCTGACTAATTTCTATGTATGACTTATGTTTCTAATGGAATTATTCCCCTTACGCCTATGCTTTATCATTCTTTATTACAGATGTATCTACACCCCACCATCTTGTGGACGTAAGCCAGTTCACTTAAACTCTGCTAGTTATAGGATTTCTCCTAGTGCATTATTAAGTAATTCGAAATTCACTTTAACCAATCAGAAGCCTGTATCCATTCTCAAGGTTAGTCGTTCAATTTATTTGCCCATCATGAAATAATTTTCTCAGCGTTCATTAACATTTGTTAATATACAAATTATTCAGTCATATTGTTAGAGGAATTTTAAAAGGTTCCTCTTTTTTTTAAAGTTTTCAATCAGTAGTTATTAGTTGTAAACAAAGAAAGTCAAGAGTAGATGTAAAGAACTCACAGTGAATATTTAAGTCGATGGTCATCTTGCTCTGCAAATTGGATCAATCCAAACGAAAACTAACCCCAATAGCTTATAAACAAAATTAGTTAAACAATAATGATCTCACTAAAAAGAATCTTGAACATTTTAACCTTCGATTTGATACGATACTGTTCTGTTTTTAGTCGTTAAGTACTCCTAAACCATTGACAAAACACTCTTTGTAACATTTTAACTATCTTATTCATGTCTTTTCAACCGCGGTTACTATAGTGCTAATAGGGTTGTTACTAGGATATTCAAATTAGTTGCACCTCAACTGTTGGGTAAGCATAAGGACTGATAAAGTTGGCGAACACCTGCAACAGGTCAGTTCGATTTCTATTCCTTACACTTGAAGAAGACAAATTTCAGACTCACTGTACCAATAGTTTAGCATGTTAGTTTTTATATCTATGATTTTTTCGATTTCCGTAGTGCATTAGGAATGTTAGACCAGTTTTATTCTTTAATAGTAATGGTGATTGGCCACTAGCAGTGAAATATAGAGCTCATGTTTCGTCGCTTTATAAACTCAGCAGCCGACTGACTGACAAAATCAACTTAGAACCTCGCACACAGGTGCATCGGCTCAAGTTGCCACACTTCACATTATTATATATAAGTCAAGTGGATATGAAAGTAGACAAAGTTGTGTGAGAGAATAAACAATCTGAAGATAACGGTTAGTGCAAATACTCAAGCTGCAGAAGATGTCAAGGAGTGAATACATCTGCGCCATTTTGACCAATTTTCAACTGTATCACCCACAGTCCTTAACCGCGGATTTCTGTGGTCTTGAGGATCCCAGCCAAGCAGCCTACATCTTCCTATACAACTCAGACCAAGATTTAGGGACTTGATCGACTAGTGTCACGTCTTGGTGTAGTCACCCTGACTCGTCTTCCAACCTAACCCTAGTATGTTATGTCGAGGTAGGGGGGGGGGGGCTGTCTTGGCATGCTCAGTACATATCTGAGTCACCTCAGTCGACTAAGGTTCACAACCTCATCAATCGACTTGCTTGTCTTACTTATTTAACTTAGCTGCTGGATAAAACTAACTTCCCGGTAAATGTTATTACTCGTACTGGGGGTCGAACTCAGCACACACCTTTTAAAATGTTTGAAGCTTATTCACTAAGCTACTAACTTACAATAATCACTGTCTGCACAATAGGTGCAGTTAGGTATATTTTGGCCCACTATTCCTCCATGTTGATTGGTTAACAACGAACTGAATTTCAGCAGGAACGAAAACGCTTACTGGGAGGTAGTATGAATCGTAACTAGGACGGGATCTACATTTTGAGTCCCACTGCTACTTGATATTTATCAGTACTATCAAAGTAAAATTACCAGTAATATTGAGCCATCGGCACAATAACCAGTCAATTCGGTCTTAGTAAAATATACTACTGAACCAAATAAGTAATTAGGAAATTACTTACGCTGATCTGTAGATTCGGCTAGCTAGATCAGAGTAATCTAAGTCCTGGTTGGTTGTCTCAGCTATGTACCTGGAAAAAATTCAGCTCAGAGAGCCAGGTTTTACAAACCAAACTGGTCTTCACATATCAACATAGAGAGACAACAAACTATTAGTTTCACTCTTGTTTATTACATTGTAGCTGGATTTATTTGATTCTGTGGGTTATCACTAAATGTCTACATTTATTTTTTCTGTTTATTAATATACATAGACAAGAACTGGTTTGCTAGACAAAGTGAAATCCACTTCTACTACAACAGCAGTGACAACTACTACAACTGTATCGTCTTCTCCTACATTACAGTCATCATCCTCTGTATTATCATCGTTTATAAAGCCTGTTACATCATCATCTTCGTCATTATCAAAACCATCTACAGAGTCTATTGTAAAAAGATCAGAAGAAAATTATTTGCCAAATTATGACAATAATGTATCAAATGTTAATGAAGATGACATGGACGTTATTAATGAAGTTGAGGATTGTGATGTCACTCTGAATTTATCTACTGTTCGCCCAAGTTAGTGATTACGATTACTTTCACAGTGTGTGTATGTGCATATATTGGCTAGCTGATATCGGTGAATTTTGTACATATTGTCTAATACATTTAGTCTATCAAGACCAGAGGCTATCTGTACGATTGAAAGAGGCTGTCTTCACTATGCAAAGAAATGGTTTTCAGAGATACATGTAATTCTACTATCTAGTCGTAACATAGAGATCTACTTATGCGCTTCATTGTAGCTAAAATGTTGTGATTATACTTTTTGTTAACTCTGTTATGTATGCATCATTGCATAACGTTAGCTGAAGTAGGTTTGGGCTGGGTATCCAGATTAAAACATGTCATCATTGTATGAAGTATTTGACTGTTGGTGTGAACTGTGTAGGGTGATGCAGACTAGCCGGTTGGGAGTCCACTTAGCAACAGAAACCACTGATTGGAGACTTTGGGTAATATGACTCAGAATCACTCTCTGTGATGAGGAGGTATCAATACATAGTCCTAGCCGTCAGATCGAATTTCATTATTGGTTCATTCCTTTTCTCGTTTCATGACTTTCTACCACTATCAATTACTTCCCTCCACATTTTTCTATCTTTGATCTTGGTGCTTTTTTCTTGATATGGTGATATGAGGTGTGCAAATTCGAACTGTTAGGTAGTAGTGCGAGGCCCCATGTTAATATTGACCGACGACTAGTGGAGCTGTGGCTCAGTCGTTTAAGGAGATGGTCTATCAACCAATAGGGCATGGGTTCGAAACCCGCTCCACCTACCGAGGTTTGGGCAACCAGTTAGTATCACTAGCCCTTACACACTGTGTGTGGCTCATTACCTACCGTACAGATAAGCATAAGATAGCTGAGTACGCTTTGTTCACTTTGTTTTCGTTAGTGGAATACACTGACTTTTCGTCTCTGTCAAGTGAAACTGTTGTATGCTTGCTGCTAAACTGCTATTTAGCAGTCCCTTGTAAAAATCGTGTTATAATCCAACACAAAGCACATGTCTTGTATAATGGCTATTGAGACCAACTGACTATAAGAGACTTCGTACCTAAACAGGAATTTGAACCTTCTACTCAGTTACCGACAAGTAGTAGTTACAATAAAAAGGTGGATTTCGATGTGCTAGTCTGTGAGCCGCTACATACGTTAGGATCAGTGTTAATCGTTCACGCAGAAAGACAATCCTACTGTTAATCGGTATTCCCCCTTAAGTACCAGTTAACTTAGATTATTTTTCTTGAAAGTCTTCACATCACTAGTTTATAACCAACCAATTAAGTTAACTTGGGAGTGGCTAACAATGGAACCTAGGATCCGCATTTTCTCTTATCAGGGAGTCGCCAACCGGATGTACATGCACCAATAGAAATCGATCATTTCGATCCAGTATAACAGCGGGGAAGTATAAGCACATCAATAAATAATAACAATCAGTCAAAGTTAGACACAATGTAAAACCTTGCACCCAAGTGCATCTGTTCAGGTTGCCACAGTTGACAGTAACATGCAAAAACAAGTGGATAGAAAAAGAGTGGTGACAAAGTAGACAATTAAACTAGGTGATAGATGACAATTTTTGTCACAAACCATTTAACTTCATTAGCTAGTTGAGATTTGTGAACACTATTTTCAGATTATCAATTGTGTCTGCTTCGCAACTAGATTTTTTATAATTTACAAACTGGAGCAGTGTTCACTAAGAATGCATCAATATTTCAAGGGATAATGTATAGCCAATAGAATGAGAAAGATGTAAATACAGTAGCGAGGTGATATAAACTATTGTAAAGATTGTAAAACTTGGGCACTGTGGTAGAATGTAATTCCATATTAGATTTGTTTATTTGATATAAAACTCACAGTGATACAGTATTATTTACTTGATATGTGGATGACACATTTACAGTGTTGAAATCGGAACATATCGACAGTTTCTTGACACATAAACTCAGTAGTTAACGCAATCCAATTCACTTACGAAGTAGAAAATGAACAAGGAGAATTACCTATGTTGGATTGCAGAATAAAACGAAGGATAGATGGTGGTTTAGATACTTACCGTCTACAGAAAACCAACACATTCTCACAGGTATCTAGACTTCAAGTCCTCTCATCCAGTGTCAGTTAAAGCGGGTTTAGTCAAATGTCTAAATAACAGAGCTGAGAAACTCACTAGTCATTGTAAGGACTTAAAAAAGGAATTGAAACATAAAAGAAGCGTTAATAATTAATAATTATCCCCATCATTTTATTAAGAAATTCACACGGACACATAAGAAGCAAAATAATAACACTAATACAAATACAAATAATAGCGACAACATAAGTAGAAAGGAAATCAACACCTCTATTGTGATACCATACAAGGAAGGAACATCAGAAACCATACGTAGGATTCTCAACAAGGTTGGAATTAGGGTGCCATTTAAACCAGCAAACTCACTTAGAGGTAAGCTTTGTCGGCTAAAAGATCCGATAGAACCAATTCAGCAAAATAATATAATCTACCAAATTCCATGTAATGACTGTGAGGTCAAATACGTAGGTCAAGCTAGCCGGTCGGGGTCAGTTAGATTAACAGAACATAGGAATTTAGCTAAACATAGAACGGCACACCCCAATAAGATCAATAATTTAGGAAAACACTCGGCCATTGCATTACATTCATTAACACACAACCACACAATAGGGTGGGACAAAACCACTGTACTTAAGTCTAATATAGCTAGGTGGAGAGAGAGAGATTAATTACTGAATCTTTGTTCATCGAATCCACACCCAACACATGTAATAGGAATGACGCAACACCTATACCAGAGATATGGAAAACTTTACTACCAATCAAAAAACAAAGAAAAATCAGGTGACAGGACTATAAAACCAGATATCGAAAGAGATGTGATTACATTGATATGATTATGAGCGATGATGATTTATGCTGGAAACGTTATCAAGTAAATAATACTGTATCACTGTGCGCTATATATCAAATAAACAAATCTAATATGGTATTGTAAAGATTGTTGACCTTTTCTCTTTCTACCACTTAAACAATAATCAGTCACACAATATGGTAGTTATTATTATTATTATTATTATTACTGTACTGTTTGTATTATCGCCATCATTAACCATCTCTTAGCCTTACTTACATAAAGCTTCTTTCATGTTGGTACTTACTGACTGTATTTAGCTGTTTTACATCCTGTTGTTTACTGCCTATCTCTTGAAATCACGTGTTCTTACAATTTACTTTGCGCGCGCACATACATAATAAATTTCCATCATTTTTGATAAAATAGTCATCAACGTAGAGGTGCCCTTTATCAGAAATTATTATTGTCCAGTTGAACATTAGATATTTCGAGAATATTTAAGGGCTGTTACACTATATGTTAAGACCTATCAACAGTTTACACTCATAGAGCCTCTAGATATTGAACTTCGAAAAACTGTTGTGTTAGGCAAGTGATCTGCAGTTGTAGTAAAGTGTCAGCCTGTAGTGTAAAGCTTGTGGAGTATCAAGTAGTAACTAAAGTTGATCATGTCAGTTGTAGTGACACTAAAATGCAGTTACTTAACGACTATCATGGATCATACTGTCACCTAAAAATTGCTAATTCTGCCTCAAGGTGAAAACCGGAGGCTACTGGATATCTGTTAAACCCTAGTTTGGTACCGTATAGAGCTACTTCCCCCTCTACATCTACCTCTACCATTTATCGAGCGCATAACTTTAAAATCTCATGATGAATATATTTCCATGTAACCAGCGGGTTGAAGCCTAGCAATTCATAGTTTTTCAGCTTGTTTAACTTTGTTTGGCTTCCACCCCTACTTCAACTGCAACATGTTTTTTCATTGAGAGTTAAGCGTCCTACGCTCTGTCTTCAGTCAGATCGAGGAAGAACTCCGCTGAGAATTTCCGAAATTAGCTTATGTTTTCTGGTCTCCAGTGGTTTCTCAACTGATGAAATTTATCTGCTGATGAGATACCCGACTACCTATTAAAAGAAGAATATACTGGACTGTTGTACACTCTATCCTATTATGCTGCTGTGATACGGCCTTTGGAAGCAAAATATATGAAATGGTTACTGTTTTTAAGTACAGGTGTATTCGTAGTACTGACTGTGTTGCGATATAGTCAGTCTGTGAGTGATGGTGAGGTTAGGCGTAGGATTCTAGGTAAGAAAGGTATGTCATTTGAAAAGGTTGTGAATCTTCACCGGCTGAGGTGACTTGAACATGTATTGCACCACCTACCATGACAGGCTATGTGAGCTGAAATTCTGACAACTTTTCTGCATTGTTCTACGGTGATTTGTCTTTCAAGAGAAACCCAGTCAATTGCACTTATTTTATTATGCTGAAATGTCGAAATTGACCACTTTACCATCCATGGTGGTTGTAACTTTGATCTAGATGGTTAATTTTCAGCTACTGTAGGTCTTGGTTTCAAACATCATTCTACCTACTTAAGTTTAGGCAGCTTAACGGTATCATATGCGCTTAGACAGAAAAGTGTGACTAAGTCGCCTAGTGCAGAAAACTTTACTTGGCTGTTGAGTCTCATCTGTTTACACACTGTAATTTTAAGTATATCACAGTGGTATATATTATTTCCATATTAATAATATTGTACATAATCAAAATATCTCTTTGTATAGGTGTTGTAAACGTGGATAAACCGGAGAGTGCATCAAGCAACAATGTAAATGAGCTTATTGATTTCACCTTTTCTGCTCCTCGTCGTATTTCCTTAACTTCCAGTACAGTGAGTTCTAACGGTGTTTTTTTTAATGAGTTAGTATTACGATTGTGTTTTTTTAATACATGAGGATTTCGATTGAAGTTGATAGGAAAGCTTGATAATGCCAGATTTTATACATTAATTGATCATTTGGGAAGTAATCAATTTCATGTTGCCTAGTCCTGAGTGTTGACTAAATTGTATCTATCATTTTTGGAATATGAAACTGATTATCACAGTGAACTTTGATAAACGTTAATTGGTTGGGCAGGAAGCTAAGGAGATCGATTCCCTTGAGGTTGAAGTTATCACTTGCTGATGAGTGTCAGCAAGCAAGAAACCTAGACTGTGACTTCCTTCCTATTATTCCCAACCAACTACCAGATTTCAATCTACTTTCTCCAGACGGTTGGTCAAGTACTGCACCTTACTGACTGAACCAGTTCTAAGTTCCACTCTGAACGTCATGAAAGCTGTTGATGTTTGAATTATATGATCTTGTTTTAATCTGATCTCAGAAGAGAATCGAATGACTTTTTAATAAACTATTTTAGAACTTTTTACTGTTATGTCGATGGTAAATGATTTGTTTCTAAACATCTACAGTCCTTTTACAATGTGAATCAATATGGTCTTTAGGCGACTGACATAAATCCGCCTGTGATACTTCAAAGACACCCAAAACTAATAAATTTTTGTGTTAGGGTTTATGAAGTTCTGATTGATTTATAAGTTATCTGTTAAACAACAACTTTTTACTCATAACTAATGGTAAGAGTATGGTCTACACAACTCAACGACACTTTCGGTGTTTCCATCGAATGTTTGTTTGGTTTCAACGAATCATATACTGAGGAGCTTCAGTCGAAGTATTTCTGTCGTAATCTTCTTAAACCTCTGACTTCTATAAGACACATTTCTTTCTAATATTGTTGCCTGTTATTGCTTTCAACATCATGTTGGCTCAGTCTTAATATTCGCCAGCGTGAATGAATGAGCTTATCATGAAACGTCATTTTACATCATCAGTGCAGCTGTACACGAAGGCAAAATCGAAAATATCTATTTTAAACAAACGTCTTCCAATAGAATTAACTTCACATTTTCTGCACGCTTTTGTAAGTCGTCGCTTTTAGGCATTCGATGGTAGATAGTAGTTAATACATGATTCCAGTGGTAAAATACGTCATAATAAAGTGTTTGTGTAAACGTCATATATTTAGAGCTACCCTAGTAAGGGATGTTTAGGGATATCATTTTGTTGAACTGTTGTCTCCATTCACTGTTATACTATAAAATTCTTCTTCTTCGAATCAAACTGAAACACTCATTTTCGTACAATAGGCAGTGAACCTTACATCTTTTATAAAGACTAGTGAATTTACTTGATGGAGCGATGTTTGAACCTATGATCCTCTGATTGAAAATCAATGATCCACGACTTCACAATAGTTGTTGTATTGTTTATTGTCTATCTCTGTATTTTTTTCAAATCATTCAGTTGTAGGCCTTTTTCACTAAGTTCCATCTTTTTTTTATATTATGTTAGTGTGTTTATCCACTTTATGCTTACAGCCTACGGTATTATGATTGAATTAATTCTTAGTCTAACATTGGTTAATGAATCTTTCCTGGTTTGGATATTGAAAATAACTTGTGAAGATATGTCTATGGTTATGTGTATTCAGTTCTACAAGAGTCAGGTGTTCAGTATCATCATCATGAATATCAACATAGGATCAGGCATTACTGCGTAACGGTCCGAGTTGCCACACCTCATATCACTACATCAAGTAGAAAGGTAGTGAGGTGAAGGATGAAGATAAGAGAATGTAATCAAAAGAAATATAAAGTATGAAAAGAGAGAAACGAAGAATGAAAAAGTGGTGAGATTCGATATAGCGTCGTTAAGATACGGATAATGTGTGTATACATCTGCGCCACTCACATCGGTTCTGAGCCATGTGATCACCTAGAGTCTCCAAGCACTGGTTCCTCTTGTCCCGCGGACCCCAACCACCTAGTTTGCATCGTCCCACATGTCTCAAACCAACAGTCAGAGGTTTCATACATTGGTGCCATGTTTTAATCTGGCCATCTCGGGCCTCTTTGATATTTCTTTCATTCACTTATTTTCGTAAACACTAGTTATTTTACTCTATATACCTTTGTTAAGCTTCTTTGTTTCTTTTCATTGTTCACTTTAGCTTATTTCTGGTAATGTATCCACTGAAAAGAAAGAATTCAGTTTCTCTGCACCATTATTGAACAAGACATTTACGTATATTAGATCAGTGGAAAATTTTCCAGACTCATTCCCTGCAATCAGTCAATCTGATGTATCCAGTAAAGGGGATGATGATGTACTAAAGTCTGATCAAGTAACGCCTTCTGATGAGTAAGTTTTTTTTTTGTTTGTCAACTATTTAAATGTTTAACATTTTGAAATTACAGTTAACTACGGGAAATTAGGTGTATACAAAAAAAAAGGGATATATTTTTAGATGATTAGTGGGAACCACATATTCATTTGCCCTCTCTGACTGATCATTTTATAGACTAAATCAACGTAGAGACTAGCACACAAGTGTATTGGCTGAAGTTGCTACACTTCACAGTGGTACACAAATAATAGATGGATAGAAAAAGAATGAAACCAAAGTAGACAAATATGAGGAATGAGTCTTCGGAGGTAGTAGCCAATGACTGCTGAACTTGGTCAACTGTCTGCTAATCATGAAGGCAGTTAGTCATTGAAATGCCTTGGCGCCACCTAACTAATCGACGTGAGAAGAGGGTTGGCTAAAGAGATATAGGTAGATATCCATGACTTTGTCGCCTTCTTCGTTAGTAGGAGTGCATGACCTGTTGTGTATGCCGTTTTCATGTATATGTGCTAACTGGAAACTGGCCCATTGGTAGATAATGGTGAAGTGACCTTAAATAGGTGAGGCTTGTAAAAGGGGAGTAAACTCGATCGAATGGAAAAACTGTAGATATATCTTACCTTGTAATCAAACTTTGATCCCAGTTAGTAGCTCATGAGTTCAAACTCATCAGAGTTCGAGCCAACGTTTGAATGAAATAATACTCATCTAAACATAATTATTATTTTGTCGAATTTAATGGTTTCCTTGTTACTTTCATCGATATAAGACTATTGCGATGTCCTTTTTGTTTGTGGAAACTACTTTTCGATCGATTCTTGAGCACTATTTTGAAGGAATAAGTATACAAAAGAAATCGATAATAAACTCATCTCCGAGCTTTGACTTTCGTTCTTGAATGTTTCATCACCAGCCTTGATGACTTCATCGGCACTTTATGATTTCGCTACCATTATCATTATTTTATTTTGCTGGTTTTCTGACTGCTATCTTCCCCCCCCTCCCCCCCTCTAAGCCGATGTAAAATGCAACAACTTGGATCCGTATCATCAATGCAAGTATACTTTACCTAATACAGTTGTACTAAGTGATAAAATCGGTTCCTTAGGTTTAATATGATGACTGCTAACCGTAGCACCTAACCGTAACCCAGTTTCTTATCTCTTACTTCCTAAAACTAAACTATTTCATCAACCATGTACTCATGATACCCACTACTTGGTTACCAAAGTCTCGGTAGCTGGAGTTGGGTTCTTACTTTGTGACTCGCTGTTTGAAAGTCGCCTATCTAATCTTATGCACCACATATCCATTCCCCCTCCCCTAACTGATCATTTTATAGACAAATAGACTAAATCAACGTAGAAGCTGGCACACATGCGCATCAGAAGATCTCAAGAAGTGAATACATCTTCGCCATTATGACCAATTTTCAGACAGATCACCAAGGGTTGTCAACCAACGATTCCCTTTGTCTCGACAGACAGTCTACATCTCCCAACATGGCTCAGGCCAACAAGCAAAGACTTCATCGACTGATGTCACGTCTTTGTTTTGTCATCCTGAACCATCTTCCAACCTAATCCAACTGCGCCTAGCGAGGTAAGTGGTGGCTTGGCCTACGCCATATACATCCAAGCCATCTCAGTCGACTAAGGTTTACAATGTCATCAATCGACTTACTCGTCTTTTCCAGTACGCTTCGCCCAACCTCATTATTGCTCCCACAGGAATTCCACCAAATACGAGCAATACTACGAAGATACCTTTGATCAAAAACATTAACCGCTTTGTGTCTCAGAGCCGCACAACAGAACAGAACGGATAGTAGCGCAGTTTACTCGTCCTTTGGTAGATAGTCGGATAGTTGTCCCATTAGAAAGGATAGTTTTAAAGTTTAGTTTATGTCGTTCTCACTGAATCTAAAAACAGTCTGGTGACCTCGACATCATTATCCTATATATGCAAAGGTGGCGTCTATATTCTAGGCCTAGTAATAATTGTGAATTTGTTGACCTAAAATCGAAATCAAAGAAATGCATGACGTTGGGTTAGTGGAAATTTGGTTAAGGAGGTAAGATGAAAAAACAGAGAAGTGTTTAAATTTAACTCGAAAGTGTGAAGGATATGCTGTACATCAAAGTGGTCTTAACTTACACATATAGTTCGAATTAAAAGGTACATAATCTCCACGACTTCATTTTGCTTAATATTTATACCGATGGACTGTATTTCTGTCTATAGAATTGTTTATACCCTGTCTATAAGTCTATCTTTGAGGTTACTTAATATCAATAAATTCTTCATACTCATTAAAAATTTCGCTTAGATTGTAGCTGCTTTATATCTTCGTCTTACATACTGATCTAGGTGTTTTTTCATAGGCAAACACAACTGTTTATAGTTTCAAGATGCCTCTTATTCAACTACTGAGGATCTCTGAGCATACTTCTCCTGCTGTATGCAATGGATAGCTTTGTACCGCTATACACCCCGTAGTTTTGCATAGCTTTTACCTGCTGTTTTCCCCATGATCTTAAAATAACTTACAGGGCTGTGTTGATTGCATTGTGTTTTCTGAGTTGGGTTGTTTAGTCGTGAAGCTTTCATCGGCTTTTTAGACGACATCATCAGCACTAACTTCAGTATGAAGTGAGCTGTCAATATCTCTCCGTGAGTGATTTAGTAGCTTGCTCTGATGAAGTGGTTTGTGATTCGTTGTTTCTTTTGGTTATTGTGTCGTTGACTGTTCCTGTTGGTTGTTCCCCTGCTTGATCTCTGACCTTTCTATCGTTTACCATTTTTCTCATTGGTTGATAGATTGGGTCTATGTCAATACATCTGTTGATTGCTGACTGAGCTGAATGCCAAGCTTCTAGGAATTCTCTGATATTCTTTGTATTTCCTCTCTCCATCCAAAATTCCTACATTATCGAAATTGAATTCATGTCGATAGTTGTCCACGTGCATTGAAATGAGTAATGAAATGTCGTGGCGTTTAATAGCCAACTGGTGTTCATGTAGATGAAGGCGAAGAGGGCAGCCGCTTTGTTCAATGTAGTGTTGACTACAGTTATTGCAGTTGATTTTGTAAATGATATTCGGTTTTTCTTCTTTGTTGTTCTTCTTCGTTGTATCCTTTGGTCTGCATAATAGTGTTTGGAGGGAATTTGTTGGTTTGTGGGCCACACCAATTCCAAGTGGTCTCAGCAATCTTGTCATGATTTCTGATATATTCTTCATGTATGGTAGGACGATGCGTTTGTTTATTTCTATCGATGACTTTGTAGTTGGTGATGCACGGGATAGGCATCTTCTGATAAAGTTTCGTGGGTAGCCGTTCTTCTTTAGTGTGGACATCAGGTAATTTCCTTCGTTTCTCCGTGAAGCTGTTGTGCTGCAGTGTGTTCTCGCTCTTTTGACTAGAGTCTGCACGCAACTGGTTTTGTGTGTTGTTGGGTTGTTGATATTGCAGTTGAGGATTTGGTCAGTGTGTGTTGGCTTCCTGTACACTTGGGTTTTCAGCTTTCCGGCATTTGTCCTGCTGACTAAAACATCCAGTAATGGTAGTTGGTTGTTTAACTCTTTCTCCATTGTGAATTTGATGTCATTGAAGACGTTGTTGATCAAACTATGAGTGTTTTCTATATTATCCTTTTTAATGATGGCAAAAGTGTCGTCTACATACCGAGTCCAAATTTTCGGTTTAATCGCAAGTAGATTGATGGCTTCCAGTCTCTGCATAACTGCTTCTGCAATTAGTCTGGATGTTGTTGACTCCATTGGAGTTCCTTTAATCTTTTTTATATCCCGCCATTGAATAGGAAGTATGTTGTATTACAAAGGTCGATGAGTTCTATCAGACTTGAACATTTAAGGTTTTTGCGTTCAGTGAGCATGAGGGACATAGTTTCCTTGGCCATTTCCGGTTCAATGGAAGTGTATAGTGGTGTGACATCGAAGGATACCAATAATTCATTGTTTTCTATATTAATGTTTTTGATCTTTTCTAAGAATTCCATTGGTGAATTGATAGAATGTCCACGTGATTGAACGAGGTGTTCCAGTTTTCTCGAAAGTTTTCTTGATATGTTGTATGTTTGAGTTCCCTTAAGTGAGGGATGTCTGGTTTGTGTAGTTTTGGTCTACCGTAGAACCGACGAAGGACAGGTCCATTCGTCGTTTGTCTTGCTTTATTATTTCTTCTGCTTTGAAAAGTTTGTTCAAAGTTTTATCGATCTGTTTGTCGGACTTTTGGATAGGGTTGGTTTCAAGTGGTTGATATACATTTTCGTCTTTGAGTAACTCCTCTGTCTTCTTGATGTCGTCTTCTTTGTCCATGACTACTGTAGTGCTTCCATTATCTGATGGAAACATAATGGTCTTTCCTATTTTTCAGTCTTTTTAATGTCTTCTGTTGTTGAGTGTTCATTTGAGCATGATATCTCTTGAACCTGGTTAGTGGTACGATTGATTGACGTATTTCTTGTTGAATACTTGGTGAATATTCAAATATTCTCCACTATTTCAAAAACTTATAGAGCTGTTTTCACACCGTTACTAGCTTTTCTTCCCTTTGATCTCAAGGCTGAACTCTCATTGGTTGGTAACTATTTTTACCTAAATGTGGATTTGGTGTTGACAAGGTCATCTGGAGATGTATATATTCAACGTCACTGTCAACTGTATTAACTGCTGTCGTTCGATTATCAGTCTGTGAACTCGAACCACCCTCTTTCAAATGAGACATTTATAGCTTATATGATACTTGCTTTCACCGAGATAATGATTTTATGAGTAGACTTATCATCCTTACTCTATAAACGTTCTACTAACCTTTTACACTATCTTTTGTGTGGTATTACTTTGTTCTGTATTTTTCTACCTGTGGAGTATGCTCCTTTCATATAGTATGAGATAGTATTTACTGAATAGTAAATTGTTTGTTTGTTTCTTGTCTTTTTTTAACCTTTATTTCAGTTTTATATGTGATCTCTCTCGATTGTGTTGTGATATGACTAGTTTATTTATGAACAGGTCAATTCTATACTACTGTTTATATATTTTAGTAGTTAGTTGAATTAATTAAGAAAAACTTATACTTTTTTTTGAATTTCATTGACAGTTACCTTATGGAAATTATCAACACACCTTCTCTCAATAAGACTCCAATTCTTACACCATCAAAGCTACACAGTATCAAAGAGTATCAAAAAGAAACTTTACTGTTAATGGACGACTATGTAACTCCAAAAGTTACACGATCGCATAGAACACGGGATAACAAAACACTGAAACTTCCTGTGGAATCAACATCGGAGGCTATATTTGACCAGTTGGATTATTTGCATCAAGAAAGGAATCGTTGTGATATTGATGATTTCGATGATACATCATCGGTAACCAGCTCTGTAACAGATTTATCGGACACTGTAAGACGTTCCACTAGACGTGTTAAACCGCCAAAAAGGTATGATCCTTCAGAAGTTTAACAACCTAACTATTATTATTATCATCATTATCGTCAACACTTAACATTGATAATCTGTCTTATGAATGAGGAGAAAAACAACGACAAGACGATATGTTTACGTGAATGTAATTTGTTAATTATTGTAAAAAAAAGAGTTTTTGTTAAGTTTCTTACTCATCAATTCACTTGTAAGACTTTTCATTCTTCATACTGTAACCCAACCTCTCTTGGTCAATTAATCAGCTGTTAACTGTTTGCATTTGTATGTGCACTGGTTTTTGTTGCCTAGTAGTGAATGATTGATGTTTGTGACACTGTTGTTCAAGAAGCTCATAAGAAAACGTATTGAATTTCTTGTATACCTTAGCTTTAATTCACCTATGTATACACGAAAATAAAATTTGTTATTGTTATTATTTCCTTATTATGTGTAAAATGTTTTACGTATATTAGTCATTGATACCACTACAAAGGTGTGCGTCATCAGTCTAAGCACTCGACCAGTGGGGCATAGGTTCAAACTCCGCCCTACCTACTTACGTATGGGCAGTTAGGTGGTAAGTATGATTAGGCGTCACAAAATAGGTAGGGTTCATTGCCTACTGCACAAATGTTGCCAACTGCATTTCCTTCTTTCTCTTCCTTTCGATTGAACACGCTGAGCAGAAAGCTGAGTTTGTTTGGGATGAGTTTCACTGACACACCAGGACTGGTTTGCAATCACTCCCACTTTAATGATTGGTAGTGAAGTGATTCATCCATCCAGATCAACCTAGGACCAGGCATTACTGCGTAACGGTCCGAGTTGCCACACCTCATATCAGTACATCAAGTAAAAAGGCAGTGAGGCGCAAGATGATCAGAAAATTCGGTCAAAGGAAGTATAAAGTACTAAAATAGAGAAATGAATGAGAAAGTGGTGAGATTCGATATAGCGTCGTTAAAATGAGGATAATGTGTGTATACATCTGCACCATTGACATCGGTTCTGAGCTATATCGCCTAGAGTCTCCAACCACCGGTCTCTCTTGCCCCGCGGACCCCAACCACCTAGTTTGCATCGCCCCACATGTCTCAAAACAACAAATTCATACAATGATGTCATATTTTAGTCTGACCACCTCGGGCCTTTTTCCAGCCTGGGCCTACCTTCAGCCAACATTGTGACAAGGCAGTCGGCGACTAGACATACGTAGTACTTGTCCCAACCATCTCAACCAATGAAGGTTCATAACCTTGTCAACTGACTTACCTCTTCTCCCTAAAACTCTACACCTGACTTCTGCATTACGCACATGGTGACACCACGGAATACGGCCTACACTACGAAGGCAACGGTGGTCAAACACGTAAGGAAGCCTTCTCATCTCTTCCACCTTCAATGGCCATACTTCACAGCCATGCAACAGAACAGAGCGGACTGCTGTGCAGTACACGCTACCCTTAATAGACAGTCGGATATCACGGCGACACCATGGGTGGTGTAAGTTGGCAAAAGCCAGCTGAGCCTTTTGTATTCGTTCGGAGATTTCATCAGCCCCCAGGTCTGATCCTACTTCCCAGGTAAGTGAAGTGGTCAACACACTCAACCATTACACTCTCTATTGTTAGCCGTGGCACCGTTGAAGACCAATCCTGGAGCAACCAATTGGATTTAGGTGGTGAGAAACGCATCCCAACCATTCTCAACTTCCCTCACAAAGTGTTCAGAAGACTCAGCATCTTCACCTAACAGGACTATGTCATCTACATATTCTAGGTCTCACGAAAATTCTCCTGAGATTAGATCAACCTCTGTGTAGTCAAGTGACGAGAGGGAGACGTCCATAGGAATATCTTTGTTAGCACCCTTGACGAACACCACTCGATGTGTACAGGTCACCTGACATCTCACCATAGGGTCTAACATGCCCAAAAGTGTTCGAGTAGAGAGTCTTCAATAAGGTGATGTACTTACTCAGCACAGCGACATGGATTTCACCAGATGGACACCAAAAGTCGGATCGACTTTATCTCAGTTTCAAGAAAGTGGAGACGCAGCCTACTTGACACAAGATCAATAAGGGGAGCAGATGTAGGCTCAAACCACTCACTATCTAGTACAAAGAACCTTCAAAATCAAGTTGAAAACCTTCAAGTAAGTTGGTGATAGACCGCAGTTCAAGTACAACACTCGGAAACTGAAGGATGAAACTACAAAGGAAATCTTCACGGCAGCCAGCCATCAAGACAAAATGGGAGAACAAAATGAGGAACATCCCTGAAGAAAGCTGTGTGGAAGAACACCGGAACTCGTTGAAAAAGATGTGTGGACAAAACCTGCATAACCGCATTAGGAAAGAAGGAGAAAGAAGACAAGGAAAGGGTCTCGACGGACACATGGAAGCTGATAGAGGAGGGAGAGGAAGATGGTGAAGCAGAAAACGAACCAGTGTAAGAATGAACAATGAGAAGAGGAACTGAGTACATTGTATAAAACACTACGCTGGACAAAGAAGTGAAGAGTGGAGAAGAGTGGGTGGAAAGACAAAAGACAATTCTACGACACACTGGTAGTTGAAGCAGGACAGGCTGCAGGTAGGAGAGACAGAGACCTGACAACATCATATCAAATAACCAGAATACTATCTGGGAGGAGATCAACGCAGATGACACGGATGAAATGTGGTCAAGGAAACTTGGTTACCAAAGAGGAGAAACAAAGGAAACGATGAGCCGACCACTTCAGAAAACTCTTGAATCGTCCACCACCACCACCACCTACAACTCGTCCACAAATACTACCAACAGCCCAGTCACAGAACTATCAGTGAACACAAGCCGTCGGACAAAAGTGGAAGTCCTGAACGCCATAAAGCTGCTGAAATGCGGGAAAGCAGCAGGACCACGTGAAATTTCGTCAGAAGCACTGAAAACAGACTCAGAGACAACAGCAGACACGCTCAAACCACATTTGCAGAAGGTTTACAAGGAAGGAAGGAAGGTACCTGCACATTGATTGGAAGAAGGGCTACCTCGTCAAACTCCCAAACAAGTTTGTGTGACCTAAGTCTTTGCAAGAACTGGTGAGGAATCATGCTCCATCCCTGTCCACCCGGAGCAAGGAAAATGTCAAGCCGCATGATTCTGGAGATACCAAAACATGCCCTGGATTCAAAATTACGACCGGAACAGGACGGTTGGCTGGCTTTAAGGAGAACAAATTATGTGCGGATGAAATTGGAAAGCTACGCCACGCATCATCATAGAAGAGAGTATAGAATGGTAGTCAACCGTCTACCTGAACCTGATCGATTTCCAAGAGGCCTTGGACAGCATCGACCGAGAAGTAATTTGGCAGGCAGCTGCTTCAACACTTCGAAGTATCACAAATCTTTATCGACCTCATTCAACAGATATATGAAGACGCCACATGCCGAGTGATTCATAATGGGAAGCTCAGTGATGCCTTTGGAGTGAAACAAGGTTGCCTACTATCCCCATGATATTCCTGATTGTGTTGGACTGGATCATGCAGCTAACTGTGAGATGGGAGAAGTTGGGCATACACTGGCTGGACCGATGAATAGGGCCTAGAAAATTTGGATTTCGCCGATGACTTGTGTCTAACATCACACAAACATGAGGATCTACAGGGGAAAACCAACAAGTTGACAGAAGAGGCAGGGCAGCGAATACGGGACCTTAAGTGAACAAAGAGAAGACAGAGGTGATGATGATACCCAACCACCACCAACAACAACTCTCTCCAATCACCATCAACGGGAGAAACCCAAAGGAAGTGGCCTCTTTCACCTTTGTAGGCAGCATCGTTTCAACTACTGGCAGCACAGACGGGGACGTCAAAGCCAGGATCGGAAAAGCAAGACAGGCAGGTCTAAAGCCTGCCTGTTTGGTTTCCTCGGGCTTGTTGTTCCCGAGCTCCACTCAGGCGTCGAAGAATTATAGAACCTAGATTTTTAAATACATTTTTCTTCAGGCTGATTCCTCTGTGTTTATCACAAGAGGACCTCTCGCCTTTTTTGAAGACGGATAATCAGTGACAGACCAGTCAAGAGGGATCGTATTTGATTCCCATATACTAGTTAACACTAGTGAAGTGGTGCGATGTATCGACCATTGTCAATGTGTCACTTTATATTCTGGTGGTAGATTTAATTATGTCGAACGCTACCGTATCTTTTGGGTTATCACTGCACATGCAGGGCAATATTTCTATGCAGCTGGCGTGTTTTTCACTCAGTTCGACTAAGATATAAAAACAGTTCATGGAGTTTGGGATTATTGGTTTGAACCCTGTAGACTCCTCGATCACTTGAGTCCATTAAAATCCCTAGTTTAAGACTAGGTAATATACTAAACGACCGGTCTTATTGGTACTTACTTATCTTTCTTTCTTAAGTATATTTGCACGGAGGAAGCCCTGCTCGAACTAGGTTTCTCACTTTTCAGCACTCATCAGCAACATATATCTGCAACCCGACTAAGATTCGAACATGTATCATCCAGTGTTGCAGTCGCAGATGTTACTACTGAGCTATTCCGGTCGCTTCTAAAAATTCTGTTGTTTCGCATCCTTACCTTTTGTACTATAACCTTTGATATGACTCCTGAAATTACTTTCATTTCATTGATCTATCTTCTGTTCGGTCTCCCTTTTGATGCATGCATTCGTGCATACCTATGCCATGTTATATTTTATTTATTGACTGTGTGCTTTCTCTGCAATAAATTTGGGATCTCCCGTATGTGCTTAAGTGTTATATGAGGTAAAATAGATTATTCCTCACTTATCAATGTTTTCTAGAATATTTCATTAATCAATGGTTAATAATTCAGTATTTCACTACAATAGCTTTCAGATATGTTTCACATAGATTGGTTTCTATTTTTCAGTACTGCATTTACTTATTGATTATTTACTCGAAGCCCAAATTCGGCACAATATGAACACCAATAGATGTACCATAGAAAGTAACGTAACGACATAAAGGAAAAAATTGACCGTGAAGGGGGAAAAAGAACAGAAGAAAAAGTAGAAATGGGTTAATTAAGCGCCGGTATCAGGGACGTATTTTAGTAAGCACACACTACCTTAATTTTCATAGCAATAGAAGGAACAAGACAGTTGTAGCTTGATCACTAATGGATTTGGTCCTAAGTTATGTTCCTTATCATCTCAAACTGCTTACTGACGTAATCTCTCGGACGCCTTCTAGAGTCATGAGGCATCTACAGATGCTAATCTAATACAATTACTTCTCATCCCACGGCATCAGACTCTACACCTCTCAACCAGTCCCAAAGTAAGAGAAATGCGAGTAGTTTGTGAACTGCTGGGATGACATACGTGCTATTTGTCGAAGCCATCAAAGCCGTTGTTTCAAGCTGACTTCATACAGTGAATGCCCACCTC